AAATATATATATAGAACGTCCACACATTTTACAAATTTAATGGCGGCTCAGGAAAAAAAGTGTCTATAGTGACCCACTTTGGAATTCAACACGGAGTGAATATTTTAATGACTTATCAAGTGATAAAAAGTGGCTTAAGTGATTGGCGCAACAGCGCTGAAATTTGACTCTCACAACCAGAAATTCCGTTCCCTCCCAACCAAAATGCGTTTGCCTCCATTGTCGGGTAGATCTAATCAAACTCATTGTTCAGCATAGTTTGACTTTGATCATGATGGCGGAAAAAGCGGCTTAAGGGCGTAATTATGATTTTCACTCCGCTTTCACCCGGCCGATCGCGCGGATTTCTCCGTTTATTTTTCCGCCGTGTTCCGACGATCTCGCTCCGTTCGTCCGTCCGCGAGACCGGCCTCGCGATTAGTTTCGCGCACAATTAGCGAGAGGATCTGCCGCGGTGCAAATCGTGCGTGGAGCGGTTTGTTGCGCAACGCCGCGCGGCATCGCGAGCGATGCATCGCGAATAATTAACAGATCGAGGGCGCAATCACCGAGCCGATGAATAAATTACGGCGCAATCAGCGCCGATTCGCCTCGACCACTACCACGGTGTGTATCGGTTCCTCGACCAATTTCCACGAGCGGATCGCCGGCCGACAGGTGCTCGTGTTTGCGAGTTTCGCCCGCGGCGGGCAAAAGACCGTCTCGCGAAAAGCGGAAATCGCTCGAAACGACGAATACTTAATCCGCGTGTTTCAACGCGTCAGGAATTTATATTCGATATAATATTCAGGCGCGCATTTTATCCGACGTGAACGCGCGCGCGCACGCACACTCGCGACGTATCACAACGCTGCAGGGAGATCAAACGACGTATTTCGCGTATTCGGATTTCATCGTCCGTGCGTTTACATCTTGCATTCCGCCGTTGTCGATAGAGGGAGAGAGAGAGAGAGAGAAAAAAAAAAGCGCGCGTTTAGTCGCATTTACAAGCGCGTGCACGCGGATTTTTTCCGCCGTCAGTTTGTATTGTTTTATACCATTTTTTTTTTGTTGTAGTTTTGCGCGCGCTTTCCACCTCCCCCCCTCCTTCCCTCGCCTACGTTCGCTCCTCATACGGAGTGCATGCGAAAAGCTGTCAAAAGCGGTCGGTCGCTTTTGGAGAGCGCACGATTCGCGAATATTTTTCGGACGAAATTTCATTCTTTGAGGTTTCCCCGTTAATTCCGCGGGCTATTAATCACTTCCGCGGAGTGGAGTCTTCAAAACATTCGCATTAATATTTTATCATCTGCGATAAAGTCTGGGTGTACGCGGTCCGTCAAAGTGCAGCGTTCGAGTCAAAGAAGCGCCGCTCCACCCGCTTCTGCTTCTGACATTTCTCTTTCGGCAACGCGCGGCTTTCGAGAGCTCTGTGCCGGTGGCACGCGCAATTAGACGATAAACATTACGAGGGGAGGCTAGTTCTGGGAGTGAATTAATTTAGGTGTAATATTAAACCGAATTCCTACGAAATTATACAAATTAATTCCTGCGACGACGCTTTTCCGTGCGCCGTAATTTTATGCCATTAACGAGAAAGTAAATTGGATATCGCGTTAATTTGCGCCCGGTGGACACCGGAAGAATTCGATTAATTTGTGGGAAAAAAGGGGAGGGGCGAAAGTAGGTTATGTCATGCGAGACAACAAAATAAATGCGAACGGGTGTATATTATGCGACAATAAATCCGGCGAAAGGGAAAATTTGTGGCGTCGTAACGCTGCCGTTACCGGTATGGCCGGTTTAATAATTTATAAATAATCGTTTCGCATGTTAATGCGTGTATGCGTGCGTATACGTGTGTGTGCGTGCGTGTGTATATGCGCGCGCATGTATGCACACGTACACAAGGAAACATGGCAAAATTGAAATATTGAACGTGAGAATTAAAATCGAGTTTAACGTTGATGTAAAATTACAGGCAATTACATGGAACGATTATCTTACAGGATGCGCACCGTTCCAGTTAAACGCAGACTCGGATTTGCGTTTAGAGAACTACAGTCGCGCGTTAGTCACTAATAAGATTACAATCGCAAGATTACAATCGTTTCGTCTATTAAGTAAATTCAAATTAGCGTACGTGCTGTTGCATCTCAAGACGGGATCAGCAGAATCAGAATGTAGATTCGATGCTTCTTTTACGTCACGGTCAGATGGACCGGCTGAAAAGCGCGATAATGGAAGAGCCGTAATGCCGACTTGTTCATAAAACGTTTTAATCGAGAGAAAAATTTAAAAAAATATTTTTTTTTTACATATATTATACATGTTATTATATAACATATGTTTTTTTATTTAATATATTAAACACACAAAGTAAAAACTGCCGTCTATTAACATTTTTCCCATGGCGCGGAAAAAAGTTGATATCACTTTTCGCAGCGTCCATTTGGTAAACACGCTCCCATAACTAAAATTGAATCTCCCTTCTCTCTCTCTCTCTCTCTCTCTCTCTCCTGGTTGCCGCGTTGCTTGCGAAATTACTGGAAGACGACGCTAAAATGCTAATTACACGCGACACGAGTGGGGTTCCGTCGCCCCGGGTATGCGCGCCTCCTTGGAAAATCCCTTCTGCGCGGCGCGAGATAAGTCATTCGGCGCACTCATGGGAAGAGCGCGCTGCATAATTCCCATAAAATCTACCCGCACCTGCGCGCTCTCGACTCGAATATCCCCGTAATTAGATCCGCCCGCGAGAGTTTTCATACACACGCCGAATCGCCCTTCCCGCCCCCGCCCTCCAATGCAGCGCGCACACGCCCTCCCTCCCTCTTTCTCTCTCTCTCTCTCTGGGTTCTCGATTGTTTTTAAACGCGTTCTTTTTCAACGAAAAGCCTGTTTACGCGATGCGGCATGTAACATCAATAAAAGCGAGTTGCATGCACGCATGGCCGCGTGCGTGAAACGGGCGTGACACAAACGAGCTATTAATGACGGCCGCTCGTCGTCGCTCGTGTATGATTTAAATGCCGCTTTTAAATGGCCGTAACGCGAGGTATTTAAACGACAACAGCGCGACCGGTTGGTCGGCTGGTCGGAAATGTCGACCATTCTCAAGGCGTAACCCGAAACGACGAGGTGCTCACTCTCTCTCTCTCTCTTTCCCTCTCTCTCTCTTTCTCAATCCTCATTTTTTAAAGGATATTTTTTTAGCTCCGTACATCATGCTTTACTGATTGTTATTTTCTATATCTTGCCATCACTATGAATTTTCTTGTCTCTTGCGCTTTAGAGGATTTACCTCGAGACGCTGAATATATAATGTTCTCTCTCTCTCTCTCTCTCTTTCTCCCTCTCCCTTTTTCGCCTGAAATTACGCAATCGAAATGCGAGAAGTGGAAACCGGCGCGGTTGAATAAGCGTTTAATATAGCGATTACTAAATGAACAAACCTGAGACGATGACACAGACCGTGTGTCTATATAAGGAAGTTATTTAGTGGATACGGAAGACACACACACACACACACACCTCTCCGACGATACGGCGGCGGCCCTAATGAGGTGAGCTAATATCGCTAATATCATCATCGGAATGCCCGTCACTCGGAGTTACGTGGGGTGTGACGGGGCCTGAATTCACATGAGCTGCCGCGGAAGAAGCCAAATTCGTCGTCGTCGGGGCAGCATGACGTAAGGAATTCCGGTATATTTCTTTTAGTCGAACCGACATACTCGCCGGTCGCTGATGTAATCTCTCGGGTGTCCACGCACGATGTCGACGATCGCGACCAAATCGATGGGCGCGGATCATTTTCGAATTACGACGCCGACGATCGGTTAATGCGGCAACGATACAGTCGGATATGTAAATCGAACCGTCGGGGTCCTTTATGGAGTGTTTTGCCGTACGCTCTCAAAATTGCATTACCGCGGGACGGATTATTAATTATTGTGCGCGGAATATCAGGAGAATAATGGAGCGGCAATGACAGAGAGAGACGCGCATTATTACGACCTCGGTGTGGTTGCGTTACAGAATTGCGGGCCGCGTAATTCGCCGGAGTCGGGCAGGCGGCGAGCGAAGCGAGCGTCGCTTCCAAGTAAAAACGGGGAATGTCATGCGGCGGAGCGTCAAATCGATCGAGGATTACTCGAACCGTCTCTCTCTCTCTTTACACACGACCCACGGTTTCTCACCACCCACCGCCGATGCCCACACGCGAGCATCGCGGGCAGTGGTAAAATTTGCATCGGCCGATCGGAAGGAAGCCTCCGCGCGCGCGAATCTCCTCGTTCGGCGCCATCGATAGAGACCCAGTTTCATAAAATTACAAAACTCACGCTGGCGGATGATAGATGGAGGATAAATTACTCCTGCTAGGATCCTCTCTCTTTCTCTCTCTCGCCGACGCGCCAAAGGCTCGACGTTAACACGCGAATTCGCGCGCGATCGATCACTTTCCTCGCCGATCGCGTCCGCGCTGTCTCCCGATCTGGAGAGTCCTCGGGAAACACAGCCGTGACTCTGCGACGTTATAAATCGCTTGGACGTTACCACGAAACACGATCGTACCGCGATTCGCTCCGAGAATGGACACGGCCAAGACGCCGAGGAGCGAAGGGAATCGTGATTCTTGCATCGTCCGGCGTTACGAGAGAGCTTCGCGATTTCGCGAGGCCGGAGAAATCGCTGTCCGTCGCGATGCGTACACGGCATCGCGGTCATTGATCGGAGCATTTGACAGCCGCCATGGCCGGAATCGCTACCGGCGCGTAATTTCGGGCCGGTGGAGAAAAAAGCGGAGTTCTCTCTCGCGGCACACACTACATCGATCGCCGCAGCGCGTCTTGCTGCGCCTGACATTTGCCTGGCTCAAGGGTGAAAGCGCCGCGCGCGAGAGCTCCTCGCCGCCGCTCGCACGTTCGAACACGGCCGCCTCACGGTGTCGGGATTAAGCGACGAGAGAGCGAGAGGGGAAGAAAGAGGACAAAGACGATAAGAAGAGAATTTCTTACCTGGACGCGGCAGACGGTCGATAGGACGCCGAGCAATGCGGCCAGCGCCAGCATCCCCTTCATCTCCTTCCTCTTCCCGGCCCACCTACGGGGATCCCACGTCCTCTCGCTCTCCTCGGCGGCTCGATGAGTGTTTCGCTCTCACGAAGCGAAGTCCTTCGCGAATTCTCCGCGAATCCTGCGGACCCCTTTCCTCCTCCGTGTATGTGCGTGTCTCTCTCTTTCTCTCTCTGTCCCTCTCAGTCTACCTGTCTGTGTATGTCTCTCTCTCTCTCCCGTTTTCTCCTCGGACGCTCCTCTTTTCTATCCGACGAAAAAGAAGAAGAATAGAAGGGAGCGCGGTTATACCGTCGTATCGAACGCGCTATATCAACGACTCCGCGGTATTGCGGGATTCGACGGCCCCGATTCGTTGTCGTCGCGCTACTGCGATTTTACCTGGCGCACAATTCACCCGCCGTATATACCACCGAGAGCGCAGCGAACTACTGCCTGCCTGCCGCACGCCGCCGTTGTCGTCGTCGCCGCCACCGCCGCCGCCGCTGGGTGGGTCGCTCCGGCGAGCGAGCAAGATGGAGGCGCATGCCGGCGCATGCGCGGCGCGGCCAGTCGATAACGTGGCGGGAACGCTGCGCGTTCAAACGACACGAGCGCGCGCGGCGATGATTCGAGCGGCGCGCGATTTTCCGGGAATGGATCGCCTGGATTATTAACACGTCGGACAGCGCGAGAAACTCGACAAAGACCTTCGAAGCGGCTCCACCGAGACCGCCGAGTTCGCGGTTACTACAAAAAACGTGAGTTTATTGACAAATATGCGCGCGTAACGGCGGGTCCGGCTCGCTCGCTCGCTCGCTCGAATGTGTTTATATTTACGGATCAATAAATTCCTTAAGAACGTATATGCACGGGATATAATCACGAAAGGTGCAACTCGGTGGAACACGCGTAATCAAATGATATAGGATTGCAGCGGCTCTTGTTAACATCGTTATCGTTTTTCAATGATAAACGTCGGTGTCTTTGATTGAGGAATTCAATTTCGAGGAGGGACGTGTTTGTTTGTTTGTGCGTGTATGCGTGTGTATGTGTGTATTTTGCGAGGGAATATGAATGTATTAATTATATATAATTGTATTTTTCAATTTTCACCTTTCTCTCGTATCCCGATGAAAAAATATCTCTGTGTGAGTTTCATATTTTTTTCACCGCGCTATTGAAAACACCGAAAATTGATATCGGGAAAACCGAACGTGGTGAATCCACAGAATCGATTGTAAATTTTATCCTGCAAATTCCGATTCATATGTCGATATTCTTCCATCTGGTTTAAACTCCTTGACATTCGCTCATTACGATGACGCAATACGCCGTTCAATGAATTATTCGACGTTCCAGGCTCGACGGTGCATTTAATAGCGAGCTTATTCGCGGCTTTCAATTATCTGAGTCAGGTAAAGAGCAAGAAAAAACGGAAGGGGCGGCGCTGTTGTTGTTATTATCGCAGAGAGCGGCAGCGTTGTTATTGTCGGCGGATCGACGAAAATCCCCGAGTTCGCCGTTCGTGCGCCCCGAATCAAACGTCCCGAATCAAATTGATCGCTAACTTCGTTCGCCGCACGAAAATTGAAGCGATTCCTCGGAACAACGTTCGGCCAATTGCGCATTGCCGTTACTGTAAAAGTGTACAACGTGACGTTAATCGCTTAAAGACGCGGCCGTAAAACTCGACTCGTTTAATTCCGCAAAATTCGTTCGGGCGATTCCGGCTCGAAGCCGGAGAGGAAACGAGGCGCTGTGCGCTGAGGCATTCCGTTCGTAAAAATTCGAGGTTCCGACTGCTCCGCTAATTAAAGGAGCATCCCCCATCCTTTGTGCCGGCGGACGAAAGACTACCCCCGACGAAAGACAGCCCGACCACTGGGGCGAATCGATGACGGAGCAAGAGAGTTCCTCGCTGCAGTAAATTGATCTTCCGAAGCTACGCGAGAAATCGAAGGCGAGTCGAAAGAAGAAGGAGAGAGACCAGGAGGCGGAACGGAAGGAGAAGAAGCGGAGGATGAGGATGAGAACGGAAGAAGAAGAAGACGCCGAGGATGACGGAGGGTGGCGGAGGTAGAACGGATCAAAGGCGGGGTCGTCGGAGTCGTCGGAGCAGAAGTTGAAATATTTGCATCCATGACAAAATCAACAACCTGTAGATACGAGCCAGGCGCTGCCGCGCTATCATACCGGCAATAACGTAAGAAAGAAATCGCGTTACCGCTCCATGGAGAGAGCATATCCCGCGAACGGAAGGAGTCGCCTCGACGATGTTCGCGTGCAAATATTCCTCTCCCGGGCTGGGATCACGTGTGTGCGCGGCGCATGACGAGGATTCGCTATTCGGAGACGAGTGTTTTGTTCGACACGATGGCCGTTCTTTCGAGCACGGCGGGAAATCCGCGATTCCTGACATACCTCTTCAAATTCCTCCGTATGCCCCCGTCGCGCGCTTGTTATTAACTAATTTGGCCCAACGGAGTTGTCCTTCGAGATTTACATGAGACGAGGGCTGATGAAATGAAGAATGTGACAAAAAGTGGACGCTTCGATGATGTAGATGAGTCGAGTTTTGAGGATGAAAATGGATGATCGTTACGAATCTCCTTTTCTTTTCTTTTTTTTTAGTTTTTGCCGTTGCAACGTTCCCCCTCGTGGTTTCATCACCGAAGATTTTACGTCGGAGGAACGAGGCGTCACCGGAACGCCCGGCATCGGGGAAAAATTGAAATTGCAGAGAAATAAGGGTTGAGATTATCGAATTGCGATTATCGATTACCGATTATCAATCGCCCAATCACAGTGATGCGTTCATTTTTTCAAAAGCATGTATTACAAAATATATAAAACACTCGAAATAATCCTAACATAGAGAATACTAAAATAAACTTTGTCTTTAAAAGATAATTTCAATTAAAATGTCGCTTGCGCGACAGCCAACTCACAAGGTCTGTTCGTTACAGCACCTTCTGCACTTAGTGGAACGAACTTGGAAGAGGAGAGAGAGCAAGGTGTAGAAAGTGCAATGAAGACGAGCCGACGACTCCCCTTCTTCATCTGTTGAAAATTGGCGGGTAAATGCTGCTGCCATACGCTCATCGTATTAATAGTCGTTAATAATTGAATGTATTGTTTGTGAAAAGTACCGGATAATGTACGGTTATCTGTGACTCAGGAACATTTATTCGTAAACGATTCCCATGATATTAGCAAACGATATTTTTATCAAGCAGCACGCATCGTGACGTACAAAAGTAAAAGTTGAACAAGGTTAGGTGAGTTATCTGTCTTAAAAACCATATGATTAATCATGATGACATATATTTAGCAAATTATTTATTCGCGCATTCGTGTCGGTTTCTAAGTCGTAATGATGAACTTAAAAAGAAATTTTGAAGGAAATTTTAATTGATAAGATTTGGTATTAAGCAACTCACAAGCAATTCCAATAATTTATCAGTTGACCAAAATGATTAACTTCATTTGACATTGTTTTGCCATTACATGTGTTTTGCCAGGCATGTAAAAATTTGTATACATAACTCTTCTTTCTACATTATAAGTTACAGTGCTAAAATATACACATATATGTGGAAAATAAATTTTTAACTATTGTCAAAACTGGGGTTAATAAAAAAGCATTTTATATTGTCTCATTATATATATATTTATACGTAGTAATATATGAAATTAGATATTACATAGTCCATACCCAGCCTAAAAAAAACATATTTCTCTAAATCAGATATTTCCTCCTATACAGCACTCTAAAAATGGAGCACGAGGACAGCGATACTGATTTAGATATTTTAAATAATCTTATATCAAATGATACCGAGGACACTGGACAATCTGAACAGCCTGAACAATTTGAACAGCCTAAGCAACAGCCTAAGCAACAGCCTGAACAGCCGAGACCTGAAGCAAGGAAAACTTTAATCGAATTGCTGTTTAATTTTTTAGATTCTACACCTAGTAATATAGACAATGAAGGTAAACCAGCCAATGAAAAGGTCACTTCAAGTGAGATTCATGACGGCAAGCTAGACTCTTCAGATGACGAAGACAGGCGTTACTTCGAGGAACAGAAATATTCTAATTATGGACGTGACTTAAAGCAGCTGTTGAAAAAACATTCCATGCCTGAATCCGAGCAGCCAGTAAAGTTGTCGCAGGACAGTAAGACTTCCATGAAAAGTAACAACAACAATAATAAGACTTTTGACTTCAATAATGCTATAAAGAGCAGTAAAAATAATATCTCAGCAGCAAGGGATGTATACAGTGACCCTTTCTTCGGAATAAGAATCGTTAGTCCGCTCATATCGTCCGCCGAGATGAAAGAGCGCATGGTAGGTAAGATAGCTGTGACAATATCCGGAGTAAAGAGCCACATCATCTCCGAGAATGTGCACAATGACTGGGTAATTGCCGGTGTGCTGATCAGCAAGTCGGACACGAAGACCTCGCAGAAGGGCAGTTCTTACTGCATCTGGAAGATAAGCGATCTGTCCGATGACATGAGGACCGTGACTGTCTTCCTGTTCAGCAACGCGTACAAACAGCTGTGGAAGACCATCACCGGCAGCGTCGTGGGTATCCTCAATCCGAACGTGCTCGAGAGCAAGGACAACATCGACCAGGCGACACTGTCGATCGACAATCCCCAGAGGTTGATGATCCTCGGCCGGTCCAAAGACATGGGCAGGTGCAAGTCGGTGAAGAAAAACGGCGACGCGTGCACGGCGGTAGTGAACACCAGCCGATGCGAGTACTGCGTCTACCACGTGAAGCGGGAGTACAAGAAGTGCTCGCGACGCGCGGACCTGCAGTCGAGCAACACCGGCCATAGCTTCGCCGGAGACACGTTGAAGCGCATGAACAAGCGGCAGAACGAGCGGAAGATCCCTTACAACGGAATGGCGCCGTTCGTGCCGGTGTTGGCGAAACGCAACGAGAAGTTATACGAGAAAGACTGCGCGCGTCTGGAGTTGCTGGCCGGAGCCGTTTCAAGTAATAATCCTGGGAGGACGAAGGACGAGGAGCGGAAACCCGAGGTCGCGGGCGTTAAGAGGAAAGGAGTGGCCGTCGAGCTGACGAGCAAGCAATCCAAACTGGACCACGGACGACTCAACAAGTTGAGAGGCTGGCAGTCTCCGAGGCAGGTAATGATGCAGTCGTCGGCCAACGGGCCGGTTCTGTGCTCCAGCCCTCCGGTGCAAGCGAAGCGATGCAATCCCAGTACACTCAGCGAACCTGAGACCAACCCGATGGACAAGAAAGTCTCTCTGGTCGCTTTGTCTTCAAGCCCGCGACTGGGGACGGGATGTAAACAGGGTATGATCGACTTCTCGGAGCCGATTACCAAGCAACAGGTCCGCAGCGCCAAGATGAACGCGATCAAGTGGGTGCAGAAGTACGGGAAGATCTCGGCGAGGGATCCGAATCAGGTGCGCGCGAGCTCGCAGGAGAAGCTGGAGATGAGCGCGAAGCGCCAGCGGGAGCACGACGGGCGGGCGGAGCGGGACGCGAAGAGGGCGAAGATGAACGACAAGTTCAAGGAGCTGCTGGCGGCCAAGTCCTCGCACACCGACCTGATCGAGAAGTCATACGACGAGGAGAAGGAGAAGTACTTCGACAAGCTGGAGGCGAAGGAGCGGATGGAAGAGAAGATGATGAACACCTTCAAGGTCGGCTGCAAAGCCGTGACGTGTCTGGCGTGCAAATACACGGCGTTCTCGGCGTCGGACATGTGCAAGGAGCAACGGCACCCGTTGCGCGTCGTCGACGCCGTAAAAAGGTTCTTCAAGTGCGCCGACTGCGGCAACAGGACCGTCAGCCTGTACCGCATGCCGGCGCACACCTGCGGTAAGTGCAACGGCTCCAGCTGGGCCAGGGCGGCGATGATGGACGAGAAACGGACTGATATCGCCGGGCCGGCCCTTTCCATACGCGGCGCCGAAGAGAAGTTCCTGGGCTCGGCGGTGAAAGATAGCAATCTCAACCTCCTCGTTCCAGACGAGGACTAGCGTATCCTCCTTCATGTCTCCCCTCTCTCTCTCTCTCTCTCTTTTTCACCGTTAGAAATATTTTTCCATTGTATCGGTGCTTTGTCCCGAGCACTTCGAATGTTGCAGACACGCAGAGATGCATGCGAAGATTTGGAGACTGAGAATTCAAAATTGGATGGGACGCAAACCGCGGTGCCTCTCCACTAGGTCTCGCACACCGATGTGTGCGTGATACATATGTATGGAGTATTTATATATAAAATGTATAAGGACTTAGGTGTGGCGCTGAAATGCGCCACGCAACGTCCGTGTCAAGAGATATCGCATGGAGTATTAATAGAATTGTTTTTAACACTCGTTTGTACATGGTAAATATAGGAGTTCAAGGATAACGGCGCACTGTGAACTCGTGCGAATCGATACTCCGGACTCGAATTGATCGTCCATTGAGATTTTTATAACAGTGAACCTTGTGTGCTAATTGTGCGTGAGATTGATGTACCGAAAGGAGGATTTGGTAATAAATACTAAAATTTGGTGAATATTTGCCGGCCAAATATTTGATCACCGCAAGCAAATAATTTAGTTCCGCGTACTAGATATACAATATATAGAATTACACACACGCAGTATTGTATATACAGTACACGGAACTAAATTATTTGATTGAAGTAATCAAATATTAGGTCGGCAAATATTCATTAATTTTAGCAATATTCATTAGTTTTATTATCAAATTCTCTTTTCGGTATATTCTATGTATTTTACAGAATTATTAGATTAGAATCTACAAATTAGAAATCTACATGTATTTTATAGAATTATTAGATTAGAATCTACAAATCCTTTCGTTTAATATCCTTCTGTTTATTGTCAGTATTACCAGTTTTCTTTTCCCCCTCTCTCTTTCTCTCTTTTTTACTCTGTATGAAATGTACAAATATAAGGAAATCCCAAGAGTTTACTTCTTGCACATTTCCGAAACGAGATACATCGGATTCTCCTTCCCGTCCAAGATTTATACAGCAAGCAGAAACGTTTCTGGTACAACCAGGTATAACAATCGTATAAAAAACACTATGTCATCCTCCATTTCAACTGCGTTCTTCGCTAAATCACATTCGTTTGAGGTTCACGTTTAGGCTGAGGGGAGTCACTGTCTTCCTTGTGTATTTGTATTCGTGCTTCGACAGGGCGTTGTTATATATATGAAGTGCTTTTCTCATCACGAGTAAAACTGTTCCTCTTCCTACTCACGAACGGGACACGAATTGTCTGAAGGTAGATGTCGGTAAAGTTTCCAAACATGAAGAACATGAACTGTGATTGGGGTCCGGAAGCATCGCGTTGACATAAATCACCGCGGGCCGACGTTGAAAAGCACGATAATACGCAATATACGTGATAAAATAGAACCCCGGATTAATCGATCATGTGATCACGTGAGATGATTCTCCCGTGAGGTGTGTTATGCCAGTGTAACAGTTCCGGACTCTAATAACCATCTTGTTTGTATGAGAAACATAGATTGTATTTTTTCACTCATGTAATGTTTAATATCCTATGGTTGTCCAGTTCTATTCGGCATTTTTTAATATTACGATGACACGTTACTCTTCCTTGTATATAAAACTTCGAGTAAAATATGCGTGAGAAAAGGAAGATTAGAAATAATGCCAGCCTGTAACGAACGCTCGAATGTGATTTCTTCTTACGAATATGACTGTCGTTAGCGAATTTCGTAGCCCTTTTAACACGCCATACACCGATTATACCGATTTTTAATAGCTCTCGCGCGCAATCTTACGTAATTTTCTCACGTAATTTTCATTTATCAACGAACGAATTCAAACATCACTAAATGACAAAACGACACGAAATATGTGTATACATATACACACACGCACAATTCACCTAATTATTATAATTATATACATGTATAAACGTAGTAAAAACTGGGGAGGCGCTTTAAAAAAAAAAAAAAAGAAAAATGTTGATCTCTGCATGCGGTGTTTCATACAGGTTGATGCGAGTTATACGCGCGTATGGAATGTTTCCTTTTGTAACATTATTTCTCAATCTCCCTCTTTGTCACCTGACAGAGCATAGATCTCACAGGAAATGAGCAGCGACACTACCCGACAATTTCTTTTCCAATCGTTTTCAGTTATGATCCATACCAAGTATACTCGTAATCCACTGAAGAACAGATTTCTTTAGAACAGCCTACAGACACATGGTCGTGCTGGCGTACACGCATGAGAACGCGAAGCGTTTCTAATAAAATTATACGCTCCGAGGCTCGTGTCAATGGTCGTCATTTGAAACCGGTCTCTCACGTGAGACATACTCGAATCTGATTTCAGGAGTTAGGTCCAAGTTTCTCGCTCGAGATACATTATTAACCCTTTTTTTTTTTCATAGATACGTTACACACACGTGATGGGATACATGTGTAATGTATGATAGCACATTTGCAGTGTAATAATGTAGCATATTGCGATTTAAATGACAAATTCACATCTAACTCCGAAGATTCAAATCTGGGTGTCTCGCGCGAAGCAAATGTTAAAATTAACGGCTGTTAATACGAGCCTGAGAAATCGATCCGAACGGATACAACGGTTACAACAAACGGACATCTGAGCATCATCGTCGTCATATGTGAAACCTAATGAAGGTTCAAGGAAACAACCGGTCTCGATCGAAGGACACACTTTTTAGTGGCAAAATACGTATGGAAGTAAAATAATCAATGACGAATATGTTGTTATAGCAGATTATACAACTATGCTTATAGAGATCATAGGCAAGCCATAATCTAAGTACGTCATCGATTCGATTAAAGCAACTCGCGTGGACGACATTTCCGTGTACCCTTACTTTAAGACAAAGATTACAAGGCTTCTCCTACTCTCTCTCTCTCTCTCTCTCTTTCTCCTTTTCACTCACGTTCTCTTCCTCTCATTCTTTTTATCTTTCTTTTCTCACACACGCTCTCCCTCTCTTTCACTCATAGATATTCATCGAGTTCTTAATGCACTATCCTGCATACTTAAATCAATGTTCCACTAAGCAGAAACGTAGTCGCACCGATGTGTAGAAATAAATAACTATCTAGAGACTCCTAGTGAGATGTTTACATATAAAAATTTGAAGAAACGTTAAGCCGGCAATTAACATCTCGATATCTTGAGAGACAATACACAAATACAATACTTCGAGCCATCACGTTCTGGAATTCGTTGTGTACATACCACAAGTCAGATTTCTCGCTTTCCACCTCCTCCCTCCCTTTCTCACTCGCTCTCTCTTTCGCTTTCTCTCCCCCCCCCTCTCTTTTTCGAACGTTCCACTTTGATGAAGTTCTCTTGTGCGCTTGTTTTTGTCTCTGCAAGGTGTACACCAGAATAATATCGCATAATTAATCACGTAAATACATCATCGATCAATAATACACTGTTCTTCTTACTTTTTTCTTTTCCTTTTCGACAAGAGAATCTCATAGCATTCGCGAAAATCTTCGTCTCTCTGTACAGCATACGTTCTTTCGTTAAAGAATACTTCACCAAAATTGCACGTTGCACTCTTTCCACATTTATACATACATAGCGTCGTTTATTACAAAGGCATCCGTACGAACAAGCAAGTTAAATTAACAATTGTTAAAATAATTTCGTAATATCTCTTTCACGATAACTGTCGTTTAAATATCGCGGGGAATATCTTTTTCTTCTTCACTGTGTGTATTTATGTGTGTATGTATGTGTGTGTGTGTATATATGTATATGTGTCTAAGGTGCACCACTATTATAACAATGGAAAAAGTTACCTCTCGATACATCTCTTTGTTCTCCTTTTCTTACGAAGCGCCTCTTTATGTACAGTTGTGTGAATGTACAAAATCTAAGAGCCGAGAGCCAGCAAACGGAGCAACGTGGGATCGCGTGGAAATCGTATGACTCTACATTTACAAGTATATGTATCACTGCATAAGACGGAAATACTTCATTTACTCCGTGGATCGTCGGCGACGACGATCTCAACTTATGTCCTAAGGCAACTGCGCCGCTTTTAAAAATTGACATCTATTTACAGAACGCTCTCCGTTTATTAATATGTCCGCGTGAATTTTGCAAACCGGTGTCAGAATGCACGATACAAATGCAATTGTATGTTCATAATAATCAGTTTATTACAGCTCTTTTTTTCATGATTGTATCTGAACAAAAATAACGCTACATCCGCTCTTGTAGTTTAAATACTCATTCCTCATAAAATCTATGGTAAAGAGATGACAGACACATCAATTTAATATAAAATTACGATCAAACCACGTACATACACTGTACAATCTTTTCTTCTTCTTTTCTTTGTATTCGGCACTGTAGAGCGCGTGTGTAGGTTGCTTTTAAACGAATCCGCGTGAACAATTGAGGATCATAAATCGTAATAGAAGGGTGGTAAAATGTTAGATGAGAGTAGGCAGGTATCAAGCTGGCTTAATTAAGTGTCACAGTCTTCGAGTTGCCCTTTATTTCTCTGTTTCTTTTTGTTTGTTTGTTTTTGTTTATTTCTTTTTCCCTTAGATACGGCCGTGCTGAGCCGCGATATGCTCCCGCCGTATGCTGTGCTCCACTCTTTCACGTAAACGATCTGCATGATGCTCGGTAAATTCTAGATAATGATTTCGTGACGATATCGTACGTTGTTGTTATTGTTGTTGTTGCTGCATCGTATGGTGAATTTTTCGAAACGTGCCGGTCTATGCTTCTCTCTTTGCATTAAGAGAGAACATACACACCGCATGCCCGGGTGTTTTTTCCTCGAAGATAAGAGAACCAAGTGTCGGTTGTGTCATGGACTTAGTAGTCGTCCAAATCAAAGCTATCGATTTCGGTATCTTCCAGCTGCATACTTTGAAAGTCCACTTTGTACCGCAAGATACCTGAAAAGTACATAGTTGGAAATGCGTGTTGGAAATATGCGTCAACCGTTATTATAACTTAAAAGACCTCCCACGATCGAGTCTTTTTCGAGAACTCATTACCAAATTGACGGTTAAAAACCAATTGTAAGTAAGGAAAAACAGTGTGCTTTGAGAAATGGCGTAAGCAAGTATATGTAAAATTATAAATCAGTAAAAAAACGCACAGTTTACGTCAGTGGAGCGTCGTGTTTATGGCATATTGATTCATTAAGTCGCGTCAAATTAAGTCGAATTGAAATTCTACGACAGTGCTTTTCTAAACGCGAGATGCATGTTTTATAGTTTGGGGAAATTGCGACAATGAGACACAAGCGTTTTATACACGTGTAAATATATAAATGTATAAACATATGTATATATGCGAAACTTAAGTAAAGCGTGTATTAATAAAAATACTATTTACGACTTTTAGAGAAAACACTGTCCAAAATATACCACTGCAATTAGTCGAAAATTTGACCGTTAAATGAAAAGTACATCGCTGTGATATGAAGATGAGATACGAATCAATACTATTTGTAAATTTATATTATATGAACGTTATATGTAGCAGTTGAGACGGGCGCGTAATGAGAAAAGTAAATATATATAATACGAGTTTGTGTACATTTATTAATAAATTAATTATTAATAAATTACGAATAAATCGATGTTTAAATAAATATTGATGAGAGCGATGCGAAACGATGATTATGTGCACTTTAAAGTTATCATAATCGTACGGTATTAAAAAGACCCATGAAAAAATATACGTGTGTATAAAGAAAACGAAAACACGCCAAATCTAACATTGTGATCTACGATTGTAACGTCGGTTAGAGTAATATATCGTTTTTTTATCTTTGTTGTATAATTATCTGAGTAAAAAAAGCAAGTACTATACCTTTCCCAATATGCGAGCTAATAGAAATAAGGATGCCGATTAGTATATTTGAAGAGTATCCAAAAACATTTTTAACTATTTTAAGCAACTGCTATGTACGAAAGCGAAAGATACTTGTAAATGTAATAATTATACTCGATATTCGTGTTCATTATCATAGATATTTCCATTGTATATATATTTTTTGGAAATATATACCAAGATTTTCCACATCTATTATCTAATTGTAGAATAACCTGTATTATCTGTGATAATGAACTCAATCTTCTCATTATCACGTCACTTATTGTTTAACATGCAGTGTAATTATTTAACATGACGTGTAATCGATCGCACTTATTGGATTGTCCTTTTCTATTTTAGACTGTATAAGCATGAGTAAAGCGTAGAGATCGGAAAGAATGTTGGAAGCATGTTACAATGCTGCAATATCATCTCGATGCAGCGTGTGACTGATTTGCTCTGTAACAATGTAACAACGCTAAAAATTTCTGTGTCGGGTATATTTGTATATTCTCTAATTGCTTTTTCGAGTCACGGTAGAATAATTTTGTGAATAATGAAAATGGCAATATCTCAAGAATTCGAAGTATAACCTTGACGTAACGAAATTAGCAGTAAAAGTAATCGACTGTAAACTGCAGCTTACGGTTACCTACGGTTTAGGAATTTTTTACAAGTTTCACTTGCCATATTTTTTATATTGAGAATAAATTATTTCCAGAAATGTGGGCTGCGTATTGTTGACAAAATTAGTGATTTTTCCTACAGAGTGGTGCATTAGACTGACGTTAAACCCGAATTGTCAAACTCGCCGTTGAAACTTCGTTGAGAAACAGCACATACACTAAAATACTTCATGACATTGAGAAAAAGACTATATAATAAGTTGAGAAAGATTATGTAATAAGAAAGATTATATAATTGACACATTGAGAGAAAGACTATATAAGTATATACACATGCATTTATTATTATATAATATCAGACCTACCAATGCGTATATTCATATACATCTACAGCGTAATCATAATACAAAATTAAATTCCGACAATGTGTTCGGATAACGTGTGCGCAATATATATAAAACGGCATAAATTAAGAAAATAATATCGAAGTTACGTCAGATGTGCAGCACAGAGCTCTACTTGCCAACGAGGACAGATTGTAAAAATATCGCAGAGAATGCCATGCAAACCCAAAAGTAATGAATTTATACGTAGTTGCATAATAAAAAGAAAAAGAAGTAGTGGTTCTGTGGTCTTGAAAATCAGATATATATATACGCACACTCTTTGCGCGGTTTCCATTCAGCAAAACTCTCGTGTAATTCGTATACTCAGCGAACGGCAATGTACTGGCTCGAGAATTTTATATCGGATAGAGTGCGCGTGCCCATATATGCGTGTGTGTTGTGTAAAAGTGTCGTAAGTATTAAAAAGGAGGAGTTTTGTTTATAGCGAGGTAAATATATCGATGTCATCTGCAAGACGAGGCAAACACTTTCGTTTAAGGTGCAAAAGTTTGAGTAGTTATATATATTTTTAGTGGTGATAAGGAAACTCGTCGTCACTGTGTTGGCTAGAAGCTCACATTGACATTTAGAAGCGTTATCAATTAGTTTATTTATAAAACATTCCTGTGTGTACGCGGCTTCGGTCGGCTCCGTAATAGGCTCTCGTATACGTTAACACGATATTGTTATCGTACCGAGGACCGAGAAGAATGCGGTGTGTTAAGATACGATTAGATGTGTGTGTGTGTGTGTGTGTGTGTACGCGTATGTGTGGCTCTGTGTATATCTGAATATATCTGGCGGTACACTAATTTTTCCATTGAATCAACCACTGTGTGTGTTTTGCGTCTACGTTCTCCGATTACGAGAAAACCAAGAGTGTACAGATCTAATGACACAGCGTGTAAAAAAAGTAGGAAAACTGGAAGATTTCAACTCACCCCGCATATATATATAAACACAGAGTAATCCATGTATCTCATGTATATATATGTACAAGATTTTCTTTATTTTTTTTTCTTTTTTTTCTCATTTTTTTTTACCACCAAGAAAGAAAAGAAAGACAGCGAAGAGATTCTCAGGCTCTTTTTATTCGTGAAAATAATTATACCTTGAGAGAGACACGAACTAAAAACGTCTATTACCACATTCAAACTTATTTTAAGAGACACATATGCATATGTATACTACAGATCTGCACAGAAGAACCAAACTGTACTATTTAGTGAGAAACCCAATGGAAGAAACTTGTGATACTCTTGGACAAATTTATCGTCATACATTTAGATCGATTGAAAAGGAAAAAAAATGCCTTACACTAACACTAATATATGATCGTTTTACAGAATATCGACGCGCGCACGTTTCAGAAAATCTTACATTTAATACTCGCGATATTATGCGGTTAATTGAAAAACTCTGTGCAACGATTTGTTATTGGTGAAATGCGGTATTTACATTCTAGAGAGAGAAAAGGGATAAATAATGAGCACTTGCTCGCGCTTCAAGCGAGATTACACAAGTGAGAGATAAAAAAGGATCTTGAAAAGGCATTTAGCTAATCGAAAGCTCTTGAGATCTCGAAGTAGACCAATAGACATACCGTTGACAACGCATTTACGAATTTCATTAAGTCGCATTATGCTCTTTTATCAATGTGTTACAATGCAGCGAATGAAGTTACGACATGAACGGTAACGGGAAGAGAGAGAGAGAGAGAGAGATAAATAGATAGATAGATAGATAGATAGATAGATAGATAGATAGATAGATAGATAGAGAGAGAGAGAGAGAGAGAGAGAGAGAGAGAGAGAGAGAAACGTGGGTGATAAATTTGTCCAGCTTCACAAATAATACGCTCTATGATACACGAGATGTAAGTGAACGCACGCAAGACAGAGAAAGAGCTACCTGGTCGACTCTGAGTAATTCACGGATGAAATTAGTAATCATCGAGGTCAACATCATCAAGAGGCTCATCAGCCTGCAGTGACTGGAAATCAACTTTGTAGCGGAGGATTCCTATGCACCAACATATACTCCACGGTTAATATCAGTTCGATTGGGAGGGTCCGCTCGCCGTGTATATTATTCTTCGCCCGTTTATAGAGACACAACGATTAATTCTCTCATGATCAACGGAGGGAGCGTCCGTGAAAAAAGGTGACTTTCGTATATCGTAACTGCTCAACTTTTTTTTCTTTGTACGCGCGGAATATGCAAATTGTGCGTTACGTATATATCGCACTGTATAATATTCGCGCGTCTAATCTATACTTATGGAACTCATGGAATTTGCGTGACATACTTATAAATAGAGAGGCTTTGATCTTTTGTTTTCACATTCTCTCTTTACTTTTTTCCGTATCGGTTAAACGTCTCTCCCGTTTGCTCACTTATTAGGTGCTTTACTTATTTTAGCTATTTAACATGTAATGTTTATACATATATATTCAATGATAGACAGAGAGAAAGAGAATAGAATTTGCCTTGTGAGACTATAAGCGGTGATAATAAACGTGTACAAGAAGGGCTCACCTCCGATACCGCCGAAACCTCTGACAAATTGGGATCCTTCCTGAGACTTGTCTGTGATAATTTCCAAGGTAGCACCGAAGCTCTTGTAGTTGTTCGCGAGCCACTCGAGCAGTGGTTGACACTCCACAAGCTCCAACTCTACCCCGCTCTGTCGAGAAAGAAACGAGAAGATACAAAGTCTCGCTTCGGATCAAGGAGAACAAGATCTTACATAAGACCCTTCCGTCCCGACGCTCACCTCTTTATCCGTAAAGTGAGTTTTATCCTTTTCCTGTTCTGGCGTTAGATGTAACACTTTTTCTTCCGCGTTTGTATGATTTTTCAAGACGTATCGTTGAATATCTAAGTTCTCCCAACAGATAAGCGTTTCGACACTACCTAATTCCAACGCTCTTAACGTGTCTTCAACGCCGAAGCAATACTTGCCGGTATCTTGAGAAATTTCATCAAAGTAACGACCTAATCGAGAGAGAGAGAAAGAGAGAGAGAGAGAAAAAAATCGTTTCGTAAAGCACCAACATTGCGCCACAAACAACGCACGGGAACATCTATTTACCGATCAGTTTCTTTTCTTGGATGAACTTTACGTTCTGCAAGGATTCGGCCGCTAACTCGATGGCTTGATTGAAGCCATTTTCCCCACCATACGATACATCCACCAGTTTAATGACCTTGGCTTGCAATCTCTGAAAAAAGAATTACACGTTGTCCTTTACAAAAACTGCTATCGATTTTGCGCATAGAGGAGTATACATCCACTGGAAAATATTCGATTGGTCAATTCAGAGTACATTCAAAGAATAACGGAGAAAAGAATGAGTCAATATAAGAAAGGAGAATTGCTAGAAAAAGAGATCTCGCTCACCGGATCAAACATATCGGATTGACTAAGTTCCGTTTTGAAATCGGCGCTACCTGCCAATATTAAACCAGCGATATTTGGCTTGTCGTTAGTGATGTATAATTGGGTAGCTACTTCCGCGACTTTTCGAACGTAGTTATGCCGTTTCTCCATCCGTAATCGGGCGAAACGGAGAGCAGATTGACCGCCTCTACCTGAAATCGATACCTTTTTTCATAGCACACTCGACCTACACGCGTGACCTATGCGTGTGAAAACTGCGGCAGAAACGAACTTTAGCTTTTCCCGTAAACAGTTTTCCGATGTGTGTCACGTACCATGTTTCTTGGGGAGATCCACGGTGAATTTGTGCAAGACCTCACGTGTGTTGCCTTGTAGCGTGCCGAACAGTGCGCCATTACCATCCATAACAATAAAACCAAATTTGTTATCGTCGGCAAGTAACGCTGTGAGCGCCTCCGTGTGAAACTGTAAAGTTGCGCAGCTAGTATAAAAATTGCGCTCGACGCGATAAGGCCGTTTGCAAATTAGCAAGCTCTAAACGCACCTTATTATCACAAAGATATAAAGAAGTGTTGATAGGCTTGAAAGGTTCAAAATCGATGTTGACTTTCTTCTCCTTCCCTTCCTCCGTAACGATAGTTCCGCAATAAATTACCAGGCCATTTGGAGGCACTGAAATATGTTAATGTAGAAATTAACTCATGCGACGCGTCAGGAAATAACAGCCGTGATAAGCAACACACACTTAAATATGTATAAAGATATTTCCTACACACTGGAAAATATTCAAGATAAACGAACAGAAATATTCATAAGTTAGCCAGATAAGATAAGGGCGTATTAGAAGAATAGATAAGGGCGCCGATAACACCGATAAGGGCACATAACTGTTCCCTAGAGTTGGAACGTGAGAATTTCAAATATTTCAAATATTTTCAAATTAGAAAATTTTTCTCCCCGCGAGTTTTCACGCTGGAGGTGAAAATTCGTGATTCTTTGGGGATCGATCTTGAGTCTTCTCCTCTAGCGTGAACGCGTGAAAAGAAATAAATTTTTTAGTTCTAAGATATTTGAAATTTTCACATTTCCGTCCTAAGGAGAAGTCACACGATCGGCCATACTAAGATGAATAGAAAACAAATAGATCGGATAAACATAACATTAAGACGACGAACAGAATAGAACACGATAAAGAGGGTAAACAAATAGACGAATTTTTGTATCTCCGTTCGTACTAAAAACAGAAAGAAGTAACAGCTGTGTTAACTCTGCTGAAAAAATAAATAAGTTGAGAAAATGAAAGGAAAGAAAAATAGGCGGTTACCTTTAGTATATAGCTTTAGCCTATGCTGTACTGATGTGATTGCACCCAAGACAGATAATCTATTTACACGAGACTTAATGTTCGACGCAGTACCAAACTCATCCGCCAGCATCTTGCTCACTCTCGATATTTGGTCCTTTGGAGGTATGATTAACGAAATCATGCTCGTGCCATTCCTGCAAAGACAAGAACACCTAGAGACCCCGTCGGAGAAGCTCCCTCCCACTCCCAAGTGGGATGTTTCGTCGCGCGCACTGTCAAGACAGTTCCGCTTATATAAGCTGTCGAGACCCGCATGGCTCGTCTACCGCACAAATTCGCGACCATAGGCTGTGGTGGCACAGCGATGCACATGTTAATCGAGTGTTGCGGGAACGAACGGTCAGTGAGTGAAACAGAGGACTCTGTGCATCGCGACGCGCGACGGGGGGAGCGAGCACATGCTCGACGAAGCCATATGTCAGGGCGATCGGCGCGAGGTAACAGCTGATGGCGCGCGGCACGACGACGTCGGCGCCGACCTACTTACCCCCTGGCCATCTCGAGGCTCTTTATGAGCTTCTTGATCTTCCAGATCTCGACGTTGCGGTCGGCGGAGGTCTCCTCGTTCGACATCGCTGGTGCGCGTGGGGACGCGTGGTCGCGGTGTTATATAGTCGGTGCTCGGCTGAGGAGATTTATCGCTGTTGCGCGCGCTCTCTCTCTCTCTCTCTCTCTCGTCCGGAGGGGGGAGGCCGACGACGGTGACGAAGAAGTCTGGCACGTAGGTAGGATGGCCTCGTACGTCGACGTCGGCTGCCGGGCTGTACGAATTCCTCTCTTACTATCTCGATCTTTCTCACTCTCTCTCTCTCTCTCTCTTTGTTTCTTTCTCTCTCTCTGCGTGTCTCTCTTTCTCTCTCTCTCTCTCTCTCTTTTTCTCTGTCTCTGTGTGTGTGAAAACGCTCGGGATTAACGATACGTCGCGGTCATACCGCACCGATCCAGTTCGCACCGGATTATGTCAGCGGAAGAACGTGGTCGACATAGCGGGTCGTCCGAGGGCGGTCGCCCGCCCGTTCTCTCTCGCCCGATGTCGCACGGCGCGCGCGGGCATTAAAAACGCTGGAGCCGCACGCGCCGTGCGGCCACCTCTCCGGCTCTCTCTTTATCGCAGGCTCTCTCGCACACTCACTTTCGGTGATGATGATCGTTACGGTGCGGTCGGTGCGCCGATGCGGGGACGACGGCGGCGGCCACGACGGCTACACGGGGACGGCCACGGCGAGGTGGACGAGGATGACCACGCTGGTGGCGGGGAGCCCTTTCAACGGTGACGCTCGTGACACAGCGGGTACCACGCGGCTGTAAGCCTCGGAATGCACACGTCGGCCATGCGATGGCACAGCGAAACGTCAGTACCACGGTGGACGTACCGCACGGTACAAAACGGGAAGCAAAAAGACCTCGAGGCCGCCCAGTCGCGCACACGAGCGCACACGGTCGCGGGTCGCGTTCACATTGGCTGGCGTGCGCCATGCGCGCTTCCGGCCGCGCGCGCATGAGCCGCGACGCGCTCCCGTCTTGTCACTAGACCACGACCTGATTCCCCGGCACGAGCCGACGCCAGCCAAGGAGGGTTCCGCGCGACTTTACGATCGAGCGGACACGCGATCGTGCTCGATCGTTTCCGGGAAACCTTCGTTGGGAGCGTGGAAATTCGGATTTGAAAGTTCGAGCGCGAAAGTTCGGATTATTGCCGGCAGAGGCGCGGCGGAGCCGTCGCGCGGATGGAAACCAATCTGGTCGAGTCTGAGGTTCTCGGCTTGTCGCCGATTCGTCCATTTCGGAGTCCGATCGAGGTGGCGTGATCAAGAATTTATGTGAATCTTCCAGTGAACCTTACGCCCGGTACTCACGGATTGTGATTCGCGTTTACAGCGTTGAAAACGGTCAGTGAAGTCGTTCTATCTTTCTTTCGCATATAATGCCTTGCCCACGATCTTGCTTTAAGACGTAAGCAGTGATCAAATTGACCAACTACGGTCGTTCATTAGAAGAACAAGTCCCGGTCTGCGTCCCGGTGTTTCAAGCCTTGAGAAATCGACCAATCACGGTCGATTGCTCTCCTCGCGCTCGAACTTTCGAACGCAATCTTTTACGGCGAGTCCTAATCGATACGACCGCCGCGGCTCTCGGCTCGCAATCAACGGTCACGTTCAGCAGAGAGAGAGCGGCTTCCCGAAACTCGTTGTGAAACTCGTAAATCTGATTGGCGAGGTGCTCGTTGAAATTCAAGCGAGATTGAGAACATGCGCCAATCAAGTTCACGAATTTCACTCAACAGTTGCGAAGCTGTTTCCTCCGCTGCCGAGTGTGGCCATTCCTTTCGCCATCTGCGGGACGCTCAGCGAATCGGTCGCCGGACGGTTTTCTTGATCGATGGGTGGGATTGTAATTCGCTCGCTAGGCGATCGGACGCGATTTCTCCGTACGCGATCTCCTCATTCCCATTCCCATCGAGAATGATCGCGACCATTCTTGCGCGCTCGGCCAATGAATAAAGAGAGAGAGAGAGAGAGAAAGAGAAAGAGACAAGTTGCCCCATCTGTTGTTTCTAGGTCGTCGTGATGGACGCGTATCACAGGCAAAAACAGCAAAAAGGCAATGGCGGCCACTCGTTGGACGGTCAATGAGCTCACCGTTAAAAACCTCGGAAAAATGTGATCTCCACGTTCACGGACGACGAGCGCAAATTCGAGGTACGTTTCGCGCCGGTGTCACCGCGTCTATTCCGGACGCGCGTCCCGGTTCCGCGTTCGAGACATCGCCGAGAAACGACGTTCTGGCAACCACATGTGGATCTGGAGCGACTGGACGCTCCTGTCAGGAAAACACGAGTCGTCGCCGGAGTACGGTAGCCGGTGTGATTTTTCCGCGCGAGTCGACGCTCGAGTCGCGCACGTCAAACCGACGTTTCGTCCGCGCGACGTGACCGCGTACTGCTCTCGCTCGCCGCTGCTTTAATCTCACGTTGACGCCAGAACCGCATTTGACGCGACATGAGACGACGCTCTTGTTTGTATCGGAGGAGTGTCATGTGCTTGTCAGTAACGCGCTCGTTCCGCGATCCGACGTGCGTGCTCATTCGCTCGTTCAGATTCGACAATTTCTCTTGATAAAGTACAAGACGGTCTCGCGAGTGCGGCGAGCAACGAGAGATTTGTCCGCGCGTCCGCCACCAAAATTGCGTTAACAGATCCGTTTGGTAGAAAAGATATGTGCGATACCCAATTATTACTCGTAGCGCGTATTAGGTCTGTTCTTTTTAGTTGAACTAGATTGCACTTTTTGCTGTTAGAATGAGACAAGTAGATAAACCTGACAACAATGAAGAAAAGAAGAACAAAGTTCCTGTGTAACACTGGTTCATTGTCTGTTTTTTTTTTTTTTTTTTAGCTGAACTGGCTGCACTAATTCAAGAAATTTATGTATATATTCGAACATAAAGATTCTCATGCTTTAGCATGCGTAAATTTGGTTAACTAGTGCAGCTAGTTCAGCTAAAAGGAACAGGCTTATTCTTTCTTACTTCTGCCTTGTCATTCTTGAATTTAATAAGACATGAGATCTATGTGACGCTCTTCTCAACAGGTGTGGCCTGAGTAGGCTGAGGTAGTGTTGCCTGCGAAGGTAGAGATGGCACAGGGTATGTGCAGGCAATGGCCGATAGACGGATGGACCTGTTGTCGAATCAACTAGGCAACGAATGGTGGTCGCTGGCAGGTCAGGTAGAAAGGTACGACAGCAGGCAGGAAGGAGTAAATGAGCGAGCGCACCTAAGTAATGAGCGAGACTCGGCATCATATTCGCTCGGTCTCGGACTTATACGCAGCCGACGAAATAGAGGTGCTTCTGGAAGAGATACGCGATCTGGAATCACCACCTGCCATATATTCTAGACCAGAGGATATTCAGGACTTCGAAATTGGTACGAGTGGCGTTGATTGAACCTCTTTACACACATGTATCATTCGCAATCGCTCACTTCTGCAGATTTTGCTCGCAAGGTTGCTGAGTCTTGAAATACAGTCGGTAAATTGGTCATAGTTATGCAAGAAGGACCAACAAAATTATGACTTCTGATATTTCATTATTATGAATAGTCTGTATGATTTTCTAAGACAAGAAAATTCAAGCTTATAGGCACCTGAAATTAATTATAAAAAGACAGTTCTTACTTTCTACTAGTTGTGCCATTTTTTGTTAGTGCATATTTTTTATTTACGAGTTAAACTCGTCGAGAACTTCAATGTTATTTATACATTTTAAATTATATATAAAAATTTTGTCTTCATTTTTATCTCGAAACGTACCCCACGTAAATTGGATCCCTCTCCCATAACTGTGGCCAATTGCTTTATAATTAGTTTTCTAGATATCTGATAATATGTAATACACATTTTCCGGACGACTAGCTGCTTGTCTTTCCGCTTGATCATTCTCAAGTTAGACTTATGTAGTAGCATGCGCAAATGTATACATAGTTTCGATATTGTATCAATAGCAGGAAGTAGGACAGGGGAGCGAACCAGCTCCCAATTGGAGCTGGATTCGCCGGGGGTCCATTCGACAGTCCACTCTTGGGATTCGCACGCTAATTATCATGGCCACTATGATAATAGCGACAAGCAAGGCTCTGGATCCAATGTTCTGCCTTGGTCCCGGGCGAGCCACATCGTTATTTATTGCGACATACAGGGGCATCTTAAAACAGCTACGGGTGTTTTTAGACTCTTATTACTCGTAAGTACTGCCACCTCTGTGCGTGTATGCGTGCGAAACGCAAAACCGAAAGTGTGTCATTATATCATGAAAATATGGCAAAATCATTTCGAAATATGGTTACATTAACGAATGCATTCGGCAGGTATCCTCCGCAGCTTGTTTGGCAACTTTATGCAGTTCTGGCACTGCCAAGGTCAGCCTTTTTATGCTGCCTTTAGTAGGACGTTTAAGATTCATGATCTTTGTAGCTGTTTTCTGTCTCTTGATCACTGCATTACTTCTCTTCCTTGATATCTCGCACGTCATTTACATCCTTCCTTTAAATTGGGCTAAGTTGGTAAGTGCTATCGATTAAAGTACACGCGCGACTCAGCGATATTAATTAAGTACGGTCGTTTGTGCGCGATTACTCGGATCCTGATCGATCGTTCGGCGTCGATACGTGTAATAGAATCTACTACCTCTTATAGAATGCTTGGGTATTCACTGGCATAGGCTTGTCATACGTGTTGAGTAGCGCATTAGTAGCATGCGCAATATGGGAGTACCACGTCGGAGGCTGGGTACCAAGACGCACACGTTCCCAACTGTCGATCGCGGCAGCGCTAGGATTCTCATGTGCCCTATTAGCATTTGTACTTTCCTGTATACACGGTCGCAGCGGATCGGGCTGTAAGGGTCAGGATTCCCGTAGTCACACCCCGACGCAACTTTACAAGCCCGTGGACAATTCTTCCTCCTCCGGGGTAAATGACGAATGACGTTTTCACACCGGCGGTCCCGGTGCCGCATTCGTGTCCGCCTATAAATAAATTTCAAATCTCACACACACACGCAGGTCACACTGAAAGAACGTAGCCCCAAGAGACCCACCGGCTGGGCCGTGAAAAATCAACAGTCGAAGAAACGCAACGTGGACAGCGACACGAACACGAGCAACGGCGGCCATCGTGGCAGCAACCACGAGAAGTTCAAGCAAGGCCCCAGGAAGGACCACTGGGCCTCTGCCAGGCAGCACATATTAGGGACGCAGACGAATAACGGGGAAGACAACGCGCAACGGGAGGAGCTCGAGGTCGAGAGGAGACGGAGAAGACGGAGGAAGGAGGGCGACAGTAGTTCGACCGGCGACGGGAACCCGCTAGGCAGTAGCAAGGTCGAAATCGCCGCCCGCGTCACCGAGGAGGCCAAGACTAGGCGGGCGCCGCCGCGGAAGTTGCCTCTGCAGTCGGTGGAGCAGCCTCACTCGTGGTCCTCCGACGCCCAGCGTAGAAGTAGTGGAACTACACAAATTAGAAGTAAAACTATGCAGACGCCAGTGAACAATGACGCACAGAATTGTTGTGGCATGAACGAGGGTGGTAGATCAATTCAATTGACTCGAAACGGCCTCCACTGGGAGGCGGAACGTACGTCTAGCAGAGGCATAGAGGAGGCTACTGACACGAACGTGGCCCGTAACGCCATGTGGTCCGGACAGTGGCACCCACCACCAGATGATGTTCAACCTTGCTCTAGCAAAACTATTGATCCTTACAGCTTCGCCTGATCGTCCTGTGAGATACAAAAGGAGAAACAAGCACGCGTTAGAGTAGAAAATGGACTTGTTCGGACCGAGCGATTTTTGTGAACATTTGTGACGGGTATAGGCGGGATTTTTTTACAAAGCAAGTACATTCGCGCGTGTGTGTGTGTGTGTGTGTGTGTATCTATATATGTATATATATATATATATATATATGTATGTATGTATATATATATACATATATACATACCTTACGTTGAAACGTTTCCCCTTTTTATTAGACTGTAACCGTAGTTCAAGTGTTACTTGTTACATAATTGAAATCGTACCTCTCTATATATTGTTTGCATACAAACTTGCCTGACTTCTCGACACGATATTTTGTATCTTGTATTAAAATAATGCACAGTGACTGAAAAAGAGAGGAAGAATCATATTTTGGTTTTTACACGTTTTCCATCTGTGTTTTCCAGCTGTATGTGAAACCGGATGTGATCTGAAATGTAAAACGTAAGACATGTAGATTGTACACTTTACACACGCAACAGTTAAAAGGGAGGAAAGAGACCATAGCTCGGATTTACTATGGGGTTTATCAAGTCGTTATCGAATTTGCAGGACGAGCTCGTCGTGTCTAAAAAAGGTTTAAGATCCTGTATAAAAAAAAAGTTATTGCTGCCTTGTACATTTTGCTGCCAAGAGGATACGTAGGTTTTCTTTAGTTGATTCGGGTCCTGACGTTTTGCATCACACAAAACCAGACTGCCCAACTTTGATAAGCAAATAACGCCACTCTTCATTCCAATCATGTACCAAATAATAAATCTAAGTAAGTTTTAATGGAATTTTGTAAGTATAAGACCACTATATAGCACGTAACACCGATATATATATATATATATATATATATATATATATATATATATATGTATACATGACTAATCATTTTTATTGTATTTTGATGCCAACATATTTTGAGCTCCATGCATACTTGAGGAAGTGTTTAGATACGTGTAGAGATCGCGTAATTGTTTAAGGTATGCCAGAAAGTGTATATATTATTGAACCCTCGAGAGAACGCGAGGTCATATACATACGTAGTGAGAGAAACGCAGCTAGACCGATCTTTCTACTGATCCTATATACAAAGTACGGCAGTTACGATTAGCAACTGCAATTTGGCCGTTCACTACGTTGAACTTACATATAATTGTGAACTTTTAATATACAAGCACGAAATTATCTTTTTCCTTTGATTCGTCAGTATAATTTCACAAAGTCAAACTGTTTACGTAATTGAACGTGGATTTAAAAATTCGCGAGAGATTATGTTGTCGTTAAAAACAAAGTATGATCGAATAAATAAAAACGATACTTTGAATAAAATTAACGGGAAATAGGGAGAGAGAGAGAGGAAATGATTATAATTATCTACTGAGAAATTTTTATTTTTGCGTCCAATTCTCGCTAAAGTTAAGCTATGATCGGATAGCTTATTAATAACCAGCATAGTACTTAAAATCGTAATAACATTTTACTTTGCAATGACAATACCTTTATACGTATACTTCACGCAATGGCCTTATAGGACTTTAAATTCTTAACGAAAGCACATTGAGGGAAAGCCGAAGCTCATTCTTTGGACAGATGATAATTTCACGTAGACTCTTCGCGATGATTTATGACGAGATTCTATTACTCGACTCGACATTGTTTGCACCGGAAGATCGGTTTGGCATCAGTTATCCTTCTGTATGAACGGAATAGTATGCGTGGAACGATTATTCATTGTATTATCCTAATTGGCTCGTAAACTTTGAACGTGTGCTCATTGTATTGCAGCAGTAATCGGTCTTGTGCAAGGACGGACTTGCGAGTTTTATTCACATTAGGTGGCGGCACGTATTGCTACGTATAAAATTTACAGGTGTGAGCTAATACTTTCGAATGAATATCTTTAAGTACTCGTTAATATATGTCAACAGTATAGTTGGTTGATAATTTATTATATTTAAAGAGGGCACGGTTTAGAAATGCGGGGAAAAACGATTGACCATCCTGATTCGAGCTCCAAACAGCGGAATACAAGTCCGTCCCTGTACATAAGCAATGTTTCCAGGCGTTTTTGTGTAGCTTTAAAGTGAATTAGACGATATCAGTATTATTTATCGCGTTGCGTTGATTCGCTATACTTTAACGAGAGAATCTCTAGTCGATTCTAGTCAAGCACTTTTTTGTACAACTATATCTCCTTAACGATCCATCAAATTGAAGAGCAAGGTATTTTTTAGTACATACATATCGTGTTAGAAGTACAATTCATCCTAGAGCGAAAAAAAAAGAAAGATAACAACGGTTATCAATGTTTGTGTTTCTTCATTGATCGGCCCGTCGTTGAGTCTCCTTTTTAACGCGTAACAGCATCGCACAGTCCTCGGAGTGAATCTCTCCGATACCTCGTTTCCTCTTCGTTCGACGTATCACTACCATTATTATATTAATCGAAATCCAACACGAACGTGTGTCGGTTAATCTTGTTGAGCAATTAATCTTGATTATAAAACGATTAACAACAGCTATTTTGTCTTTTGATACGATGCCGCGATACATACATCACATACACATACACACACACACACACATACACGTACACATTTATCGGACTTCGATGCGTCGACCTTAAATCAATTAATAGTATAAGAGAAATGCGTGTTCATATAGGTTCATAAAGAGAAATAGCGTGTAATAACAGCAGCTTCGTTGTGGCAAATATCGACGGTGTCATGACTCTGTTCTGTTGGGCACAATGAAGAGCGTAACGTGTAATTTTTCTGTATAACGGTAATTGCTGATAAAACGCTGGGATAAAAAAAAATGAAACGTTTGAAAGTGTGAATATATATCTCAAGGTAAAAGTAATGTCACTTTAGAGTAACTTAATCGAATAAAAGTGTTACTTGGCGGTAAGGCGAGAGACTTAGCTTTGAGTTCGAGAGGAAAGAAAAAAAAACTAACAAAATGTACAGACACTGCCAGAAGAAATATAACGCTCTTTCAATGTAGTGTATATCGATCGAGTCCATTCACTCACGATGATTTCGATGATCCGAGGCTTCGTCGTTTCACGATCTGCCGTGATACTCGTAATTTTCGAATCCGAATTCGGGCGACAGCCCGTAACGCCTCTGTGCTAGGCAGATCGGGGTGACAGTTTTTTGTACGAATTGAGAAAGTCGCGCGTATTCGTCACTCAATCTTCGTCGTCTTACGCAACGATTTTGATTTTTAATCGTACTTATGCGGTAGTCGAATATAAATTCCGACCGAATCCGAGTGCTACTGGCGACAAATGATGACTTGAATTGTAACTCGTGTATTTTCTACTTTCCCTGGTATTCACCTCTTTCAAGTTCCTTCATGCGAATAAAGTAGAAGAACCTGAGTAATGCTGAACGTTTTTATTCGCTTAATTTTCTCTCACACGTTATATTTCCGTGCCATTCTTTAACGGTAGTATCTTTGTATTTCGCATTCTGTATCGTTACTTTCGAGATACCCGAGACAATCCAGATTGTCTGTTCGCAAACGCGACTGAAAAAGAGATCATTCGAGCAGCGATTTATCGTCCGACAGCACTACGGATAAATGAAGTAAATAAAGTCGTTATCGCCATTACGATGAGAAAGGAAAACCAAATCGCCTCTCATTTGACTTTACTCTAATTATCGCAATAATTATTTGCTTCAACGAAGTTAATAAAAAAATTAATGAATAAATAAAAAATAGCGGTATGTTTGTGATACGTGAAGCACTGTTTCCTTAGAGTTTGTATAAATAAGTTTTCATTCAGGCAATAAATTTCAATTACAATTAATAGGCGCAGATTCTTTTACATGCTAAGCTCGATCGACGAGTGACCTATAGTGATAGCACGACAATCCAAGTCTGTACATGACCCGATATCTCCCAAGATCCAGGCGAATTGAGAGGAATCGTCGTGTCCAAAAAGAGGATCTCGAAACGTGACCCTCAAAGATCGGCAGAGATTGGACGTTCGCCGAGCACGGCGATCTTCGACCATTCCTCTCGATCGCCAACAGGACGATTCGACTGGCCTAATTTTTAACTCGCCGGACGATACGGACGTGTGTGTCCCTGATCAGAAGAGAGCTCTCGGCTCATTTGGGCGCTTCGAATGTGTTTCAATATTTATGCGGGTGTATACGGTTTTTAGCCGATAGCGTCATTGTATCTGTGCGTTCGGTTATATGCGAGTGACAACAATGTGATGCTGCCAACAATAATGCTAGTCGACGTGAAACTGTAACGAAACGCGCTAATAACTGTAGGGTTCGTTAGACGCGAGTGTCTCTAAGTCTCTGGGACGTCTAACGGAGGCTGCGGGTATGAATGAGTACAGCTTGACAGATTACCAAGCATGATGCGCGGATTATACCGGAAAAGACAGATAAACAGATAGAGAGAGAGAGAGCATCTTGGTGATTTGTCATGCTGATAGCGAAAGATCCGGACAATAAATGATTGACGAGTCACACCTAAATAACACCTAAGTTAGCATTTATCGCGCATTCTTTGAAACGTCATTTTGTACGTCTAGGAATAAACGAACAAATATTAATTATATGCACTACCGATTGTGTGCGGAAATACGAGTGTGACTGTGTGTGTTCGTGTGCCTGTCTGTGTATGCGTGTCCGTGTGATATGTGTGTTATTAATTATTTAACGAGGTATATCATGATGAAACAAAGAAAACACTACTTTTAGTCGTTAGAAAGTGAGTCCTGTACAATGTTGCTCGAGGCGGAAATGTGTAGTGAGACGCATCGAGACACGGTTCGATCGGCGGACAAAGCTGCAAGAGAGCATAGTAGCGTTACATATTCTGCGTATATGCCATCTAAGGAACATTGTCACGCAATCGTCCGAAATACAAACGAAATGATCAAACCCGTAGCGCGATCCATTGAACATACACAAGAGCGCGGTCACGTCTCGACGTGAGGAAAATTACGTGCACGTACGAATCCGTGAGATGAACGCCCGCTGACATCTCGATAGTCCTGTGACACGCGATGTGATGTATATAACGTAATGATAATTATTACCAAAGATAACAATTATTTTCGGCGCGAAGGCCGCTCGTAACGGTTCGTAACGGTAGTAACGCGGATCCTGCGTCGAGCCTGTACCCTCACGTTTATCTTGACGTTTTGTAAGAGAGCGACACGTTTTTCTCCACCGTTTTTCCACCGTTGTACATCGCGATTAGCGCTCCGTCCTGATATCTGCGAAGATATGAGGATCAGGGATTAAGAGGGAGGGTACAGCATACTCGCGCGCGCACCCCCAACGGGGGTGACTTCCCCGTTGGAACTCAGGGGAGGCGATATGGCCCGATCAATTGTCGACGCTACCGCGTCCAGCCCCCTTCAACTTGCCGACTATGTCTTCCAAGCTCTTGCGACGCACGCACTGCTCCGGCTGGCCGTCCGGCGCGAAGGGACGACAGGGGTACATGGACCCGACGTAGCGATTGATCCAGCCGCTTTGAGGGGGAATCGGGAGGAATCGGGCGGAAGGAACAGCGAGAGTAAATAACATGAGCGTATCGAGTATAAAGAGACGTAAGAGGAGAGAGAAAGAGAGAGAGAGAGAGAGATCTCATGTGTATGTTTTATATGTATTTCAGTTGTCACGCGAGTTCACGCGATGGATGACGACTTACCTTTGGTCGCGGCTCGCGTACACGGCGGGCGACGAAGCCTGCGGAAGGACACGCACCCGGTGAGACAAACGCGCGAGATCCCGAGATTATTTCACGGAGAAAAAGTTGCTTGAACTTAATGTGACAATGAAAACGAGCGTTATCGTCGAAGGAAACAGTATTTTCGGTTCTTCAGAACAATTAAATCTAGTTTACAAGAACTAGGAATTCAGCTTCCTTCAACCGAGAAACGGTTCGTTCGTTGGCACGTTAATTCGACCAATCTTTTTCCTTCGTGTACGATTTGATAGTACACGCAAAAAAAGAAATAATTCAGAGGGACGGCAAATTGTATGCTGTTGTAGCAAATAAACGAACGTGTGTTTCTTAAAAAAAAAGTACCGTCCGATATTTTAGGAGTTGATTTTTGAGGTCATTTTATGAGGAAAAATTCATACACCGGGGGAGAAGAATCGATTGAATTAACGTGGCAACGAAACCGAATGCGTTCTGGTCGAAGCGAACGGGAAATTTCTGGTTTTTCTAAAACAAATTGGAAATTCTGGAAATTTTATTTCCCCCAACGAGAACGCGTTTCCCAGCACATTAGGCAACGTTTGGCTAACGTCGGGCGACAAGTTAGCCAGCCAATTTGTGCCGCTCGGGTTGCTGTCCCTCCGAATGATTTTTCTCCGTGTAAATAATAATGTAATCATCACGTCTGTGAGAGTAATTCCTCTTACTTGTCGCCGGAGTCTTAATTGCTTGAGTAATAAATATTTACAGTCGGATCTCGCCCAACTGTACTGCTGGTTACCGTGCTGCTGCTGCACGCTCGTTAATCCGGACAGCGGTGTCGGGCACGTCGGTGAAAATTGCGGCCTCATCGTCGCGAACTGACGCTGTTGCTGGAACAGGTGTTGCTGCTGGCACGTGTAATTCGAATAATACGGATCGTCGTAGGCCGTTAAACGATCCAATGACAAGGAGGAGGAGGAGGACGCGGCGGAGGAAGATGCTAGGGAATTCGTCACCGCGACTGCAACGGAATTGAGAGCGATCGGTGTTTTTTGCGGACGTTTCCGCTCTCCCTGCACGACACGTCAGGTTCGAATGAGGTATCAATATAAGCCATATCTAAGGGATTTATTTACAGAAAAGAAAAATATAGATATACACAGGTGTATATATAATTTCACTATATGCAATGTAACTTTAATAAACCTTTAGCTCTGCGAACGCTCAGCAACGTGTCGTAGTATTGTTTCTTGTACGCGGCCAGCTCGGACATGGAGTGAACTTGAAAATTGTTCTCCGCGCTCACCTCGCTCGGCCTCGGTCTTATTTTGCGTCTGTATCGACAAAAACAAAATTATATCATTACATCAGTATCAGATCCTCTTCGGCGCAAATACAAAAATCGAAGATTAACAAAAATGCTGTTGATCAAACTCACATAGATGTACATCGAATTCAGGAAAAAAAATATGCTATCTCTAGAATGAAGATGTCTGTTACCTTAAAACCGAAAGAGTAAAAAGTGAAGATAGAGGGATTAATCATTGGAAGGTTACGAATTAAAACGGTCCAACTGACAGAATAATCTTACCGAACATCTTACATGATAATTCAGACATATATCACATCAACATTATCGCGTCGATTGAATTATTCCGTTGATCGATCGCGCGATACTCACCCGTAAATCGGTTCCTTCGCGTCACTTTCCCTGCGTTGCGCCGCGACTTTCTTCTCCGCGTCGCGATCCAAATTTCTTCGAGACAACGGCAGTTCGCTCGCTTTGCTGAGCTCGCGCGAGCCACATTTCGCTTGCGAATCGTTCGCGACGCGAGCGGACGACCCTTGATTCGTCTTTTCATCCCGGCCATCCTTTTCCGAATTAACGTCCTCCTTCTGTGCCTTCGAAAGCAAACCGCCGGACGAGGGGTCGAGATCTTTTTCTGAAACTTTGCATGCGGTCGCGGGCTTCCGGTCTATCGACATCAAACACGCCGTGTCCGAGGAGTACGCCCGTGGATACGACCTGGTGCGCGGAAAGGCCGGCGACTCTGCGCGCGAACGTTCGTTTCAGTTTCTTGTAATTTTGTACGTTGTCACACTCGGAGAATGGATAAGGCAGAAATAAATCAGATAGAAAAAAAGAGAAGAGAGAGAAATCCGCAAGCGTTACCGACGCTGGTCCCTTCTCGCGCTCGTTTCAAAAAGTTGCTCAGACTCGCCCTCAGTCCGTCGCGCACCGTCGCCAGGAGATCGTCCGCCTGCGGAATTCAACGGATTTAATCTCCCGATGAAAATCGGAGGCTGAAAATAAAACAGAAAAAAAAAGGTTTGTTTAACGAGATTATTCCGCATCTTGTGTCTCCAGTACGTCTACGAAATCGCCCCGATCCTCGTCCGCCCAACACACGTCGTCCATCTTGCGTATACTGTCCTTGATCGTCTCCTGCTCGATCGTTCGCTCGCTCTTCCGGCCCATGTCGATCGCCACTTTCGACATCCCCGGTTCCGTGTCTCTATCAAACGCGTCGACACCGTCATACTTCCTACAGCCGTATCTAACGCCATTCAATAGCCGGGCAGCTTTATCTCGAGACGAATCCGATACTATCTCAGTATTATCGCGTGTCTTCATGGAGCTTGTTTCCTACAAATCCGTCGAAGTTTTATAACATATATATATATATATATATATATGCATATATTTTTTTTCATATATTATATGATGTATAATAATATCTAATATGTAATTATATATATAGAATTCATGTTACGTTTATTCCTAATTTCTCAAAATATTTTCTCTTCCGTGTTCCTTCGGTGTATTGTTTTTTCCTTTACAAACCTGACACGCTGTCCGAAGTGAGTAATGAGACTGCGACAGGTTGGCGGTGTTCCCAGCAGGTGCGTGGTATTTCTTATTAAGCAGATATTGTCGGCAAATTGATGTCTGACACTTGCTTTCGTCGACCGAACGATTCTGCGGATTATCGTTCGGTCGACGACTCGACGAATCTGCCTGCCGATCAGCGCGCGAGGGTGGATTTGAGCCAACGTCAAGCGAGATCTCCGAACGAGGAGAATCGCGCTGCACACCCCGCATATGCTTTACATTTGTTATGTGGTTACGAATCGTCGTGGAAATTTCGTTCTCGGCGAAGCCACGGAAGGGATGGCCCTCGGACGATTTCGAATCCAAAGCGTCCTGGTCGCATGGGGGGTTCTGCTTCGATGCGGAAACACTGCCGTCCATTGTAGCGCCAGGCGAATTTCCCGCGTCGAGCGCTTTTTCAGACGTGTCGCTGCGTTGGAATATGAGAATACGATGTATTTCTTGGATGTCTTGCACACGGAAGAAGAAAAAAAGGTAAACTCAGTCCCAACTGCAACTTGCACGAGCAACTGAGCGAGGAACCAGATGAAAACTCGGCGGCGAGAAATGAAAATTCGGTGACAAGAAATGACATCTCTGTTATGCGCGACTGGGAACATTCGTGTGAATATTTAGGTGCGTTAAAACCCGGTCGTTCAATTGAGAACGATTGATTGAACAAAATTCTTTCTGTCCCCGGGATAAAAGTACAATAACCTGTCTGTGTAATCAGATATATAATTATATATTTTATACAGAGACATGTTCTATATATATGTACATATAGGAAATCNCCCCCCCCCTACTCTCTCTTTTTGTCTGATCCCCAAGCAACGGAAAATCCAGTCACAACGACGGAATTGTTTCTCCCGTGTAGAGAATTATTCAAGTTTTTAAAGAAGATTATTAGAGGAAAGATGATTAAAGTCGAAAGACAACGCGAATGTAGCGCGTAGAGAGCTTACTTTCCTCGCAGATTGAGCTTGACAAAGCCCGTGCTCGCATTGAACACCTCCGCGATCTTGTGATCCGGCACACCTTTTGGCACAGGTATCATCGAGAATAGCAATCGCTTTCGGGGAGAATCGCAGTTTTCTAACAGACCTCCTACTTTCTTCAACACGCGTTCGTATGCGCCGATATCAACCTCTGGCCGATATGCTCGCAGCAATTGCGTGATTACACTCGCGAGATTGTCTCTTTGGTGATGGCACTGCAGAGCTGAACGCAACGACGACAAATCTGTTGCTGCCTCGGTATCAACATCGCTATCAATCGCGCTTTCTGCGATAATGGAGAATGAATTGTGGTTAATTTCGAATTTAATTATAATCAAATTGATAATTAGGTAAGAAATCCGGAAAGTGCATTACTTTTCGTGGCCTTAATAAGTTAAAGTAAAATTCGGCTTCGATAACTTTATTTTCTCGGACAATGTCTCGAACACGAAAAATATCTGATTGTTTTTATATTTAGTTAAAGCGTCACTTGAATGGGATAAATAATAATAATAACAATAATAAAGATATGCGCATTACACACACACATACTAATTACTCACGTCTGATGAGTGAGTGGAGTTGACAACCACAATATCAAGCACGCGCGATCTTCGTTTTCACTTTTCACGAGGGACAATCGCGTGCCGGCGAATGTTACTTACGTCGCTTGAATTGGTCCATGCTCGCAGCGATCAACCGAAATCAAAGGAATTTGCGAATTTCGCGACAGTCTCGGGGTACTTCCTATCAGATTCGACGATGCCAGGATAAGGTATTCATGAAATAATTGAGGCGACGTTCATTTCCATTATTGAAAACAGCTGAAGAATGCGGCGCACATGACTCATTTGTAAAGCGATTAAAGTCCGATCGCGATCCAGAAAATACGCTATTTGTATACCTGATGGAACGAAGAGAAATGAGAGAGAGAGAGAGAGAGAGAGAGGGGGGGGGAAGAGGTGGAAGTTAATCTCGCGAAAACGGCTTTGTCCGCGAAATCGTCATGGGATGGAGAATAGATCCCGATCGATTTGATTTAAAAATAGATCCTCCCCCCGTGTCCTCTTGTGTCCTCCCCTCGGATGGTAAGAAGGAAATTACGTCCGTCCAGCAGCGCACGGGAGGAAATTATCACGCTGGGTTAATTAAAATATACAACTGCGGAGCTCCGCGCATACACATGCGGGGAGTGGATTATTTTAATGAGAAACTCCGCCGTCTCGGGCCCCGCCAACACATTCTCCATGCGGGTAATCCCCGAAGACTTTGCAAGGATTATTGATCGATGATTGTTATAAAAGCGAGTCGACGGACTGGAGCAGGCTACTTAGCGCAATATGCTCCGACAGAAAGCACTTTTACCGTTCACCTGCCTAGTAGCGTTCGCCGCAGCAGTTCTACCACCCGGTGCACCATGGACGAACTTCATACCCAAGTCACCTGGTAACGTCGTTTTCCTGCTATCTCATTCTCTTCTCGCGTATCTTTTTCTTTTTACACGGAAAAAGGTCGATAGGTGATAACTCTCTTGTAAAAATGAGTCTTTTATTCGGGATATTTTCCAAATTATTAAAGTTTACGTAATCTGAACGTTGAATGCGTCTGAAGCCTCTCGGAAAGAAATCACCTTGATATGCACGTTTGATTTGCAATCTTCATATTTGTCAATAATTTATTTTTATTTCTCACCTGATGAAAGTGGCGTGGTAAATTGTTAAGTTTTTTTTTTTAAATAAAAGCTTTCGATGAAAATAAAAGTGATATTTTAGTTAAAATTACAGTGATACAGCGAAGATGAAAGGAATTGATTTCTTTCGGAAATCGAAAAGATAATGTTACTAATCAGCGATGCAAAACGTCTGTTCATTCTTCCCAATATTAGCGTCTCGTTCAATTATTACCGAAATGGCAAATTGATTATTATTGCGAGCCGTGAAACCCGAGCTCATTTACCTGATCTGTCCGAATTCTACATAATTCGTTAATTGCTCGCAACTACGCGAACAATTTCTCGGAACAATTACTGATCCCCGTCGATCGTTGCGGAAATCTTGCAGTTTACTCACGAGCCCTGGGACCGATGGGACCAGTCGGAATGGACACGATATCGGTGCCGTACATGCCGAAGTCGCCGCTCTTCCCGAAATTCGTTGACCCGAAGGCGATGATCTCCAAGAAGACGGACATGCTGGGCAACCTGTTCGGCGGTTTGGGCCCGGTCATGTACCCTACAGGCACCAAGCCGATTCTACCCTACGGCGGGCCGCCCGTGGACAACCTCGGCGCCGCGGACAACATACTGTTCAGCAAGAAACGCGACACCCTGCAGGCCGGTATGGGGAAAACGCTCGACGGCGACGGTACCGCGATGTACAGACGCGGTATGTTTGGCCCGTTCGCGCCGAAGTTCGGCCCGATGGGGCCGAAGTTCGGCCCGATGACGCCGTTCTCGTCGGCCGACACGACGGCCGACTACGCGGCGGCCGGCAAAGACTTCTTCTCCCGCAGGAGGAGAAGCGTGGTGGGAGCACCCGTGATCCCGGCCGACAAGACGCAAGTCGTCAACCTGGGCTTGGCCGCCCCGTCGTCGTACGCGAAGGGCTTGACCGACGACACGGCTGACGCGACCTCAGCAGCCGGCGACGCGCCGAAGGAATCCTTCTTGGGGATGATCGGAGGACCTTTCGCGGGAGGGCCTTTCGGGGGACCTTTCGGGGGACCTTTTGGCCCGGTGGTGGACCCGACCGTATTCACGGCGAAGAAATCGGCGTTCCTCGACACGTTGTTTAAGAGCCTCGCCACCAGCACCGCCGCTCCGCCGACCAGCACCGACGCACCGGTGCCGAAGAGCACGATCGTGCCACCCAGCTATTGGCTGCCGTCCTCCATCATTCCCGACCCGAGCGAGTACACTTCGAAGGTGTCGGACTTCTTGGACAAGCTGTTCGACAGCATAAAGCTAAACACGACCGTGAAGGCGACGGGCGACGACGACAGCTTGGAGGCGACGAGCGGCTCTATGGCGATGAGATCGCTGACGTCGGACGACGCTTCCCCTGACAGGGCAGCGAGAGCCTCCGAGGATCTGTCGGCCATTGCGGCTGCCAAGGACGCGGTCGTGGACGCGATCCTGTCGGAGCTCGGCGACCTGAAGAGCGACATGATAGCGACCTTGAACGACTTGATCGCGTACGAGAAGGCCGCCGCCGCCGCCAGCGCGGTGAAGAAACCCTTCAAGCCCTTCGCCGGCATCTTCCCGCCGAAGCCGACGGTGGACGCGACGCTCCCGTTCCAGCAGAGGATGACCGTGCTGAGCCAGGTATTCGACATGCTGACGGACCTGCAGAGGAACGTCACCGCGGCCACGAACAACGCGATGACGGCTAACGCGGCCGGTGCGGCGGACAACTCCGAGGAATCCTCGCCGAAGAGTCCGTTAGCCTCCGGCCCGGTTGGCGCTGGCTCCTTCAACGCCACCCTCTTGGACGCCGTCCTGAAGAAGCTGTCCACCGTCGTGACCCCGGCGCCGTATACGGCGAGTTACGTGAAGGCCGATCCCGTTATAACGAGCAGAGCCTTGGCCAAGGGACCGACGTCCTTCTGGGTGTCCTACCCGGAGAACGGAGCTTCCGCCACCGCGAAGCGACAAGCGGACGACTATTCGTACTTCGGCGGCAGAAACGACGACAACGACGACCGGAGACAATTCACGAGAGGTGTAAAGATGCAGATGCATCAGGGATACCAGAGCCTGCCCGCGGGCTCGGTCGAATCCGTGCAAGCCGGGGGAGGCTCTACGCCGGGGCATCAAGGAGGCGGGATCAAACTGCTGGTGAGTGCGACTTTTATTCCTGCACGTTCTCACGGTAACTCTGAATGACAACTTTTATCCAGGGTTGGGAAGCAACGCGTCACTTTGCGTGCGTTACCGCTACGGAATTACTTTCTCCCAGTAACGAGGTTGTTTCTTCTTCTTAGTGTTAGTGACTCTCCTCTCGTATCCTTTCTTCGCAGATGAGAAGAATGTTAAAATGAAAATGACAAAGCAAGGAGAAAGAGGAACGTAAAAGAAATTATCGTACTTAGAAATCAAAGGTGATGTTACTGATTAGTGATACAATTCTGCAGTGCACATTCTTTTCGTTCTATTCTTTCGTAGACTCTTTGTAGCGTCTTGTTTTATTGTAACGATAACGGTAACGATATTCCTCAAAATGGACAATGATAACGGTAACGAGTTACTTTATTTGATGAGTAACGAGTGACAGTAACGAGTTATTTTTAAATGATGACCTTCCCAACCCTGCTTACATTGATACGCCGAGAACGCATGACGTGCGAAGCTGTTCGCCTCGTGAAGGCAACGCAATAACTCTCAAGTCGGGGAAGTATTTTGTCGGACTTCTTTGAAATTGCAACGCATCCTCGCAGGCTGCGAAGAATCAATCTCAACAGATTAAGCTAAATCGAACAGCGGCCACTAGCCGATCTACATCGTTCTCGACGCTTCAATATCGTTAAATGATAACTAACGTTCTTACAAGATATATCGTATAATATTATTTCGGTAATAATGCCATTATATAACAATAACGTCGTAGTTTTACATCCTCTCTCCGTCCCTTTAATCTAAGAGTATAGTGGCGTTTATATAAAATGTACAGAAATCCCTCCAGACCGACAAGACAAAAAGACCGCGTTGGAAACGACTCGACGCGCTCTGTAAAATCTATCCCTAGTCCGTATGTACGCTATCATCCTATCTCGATTCGAGAACACCAACCTCGAGGATAAAATTTCAGAATGCAACAACAAAACGTTAAACTAATTCGGCAATAAGCAATTTAGCAAGAAGCAACTTTGCACGCGATCTCGCGCCGCATAACGCGCGACACCTTGGAAGCCTATGTACAAAAGAAACGAAAGATGGGGAACGGGAAGTCACGTTGTTGTTGTTATTATTATTACCCGACGCCTCGGCTGAGATCGACGAGACAGAGACGACCGCACGCAGCTACGTAAAATGTGTGATTACTTCATTTGCTTTCAGATACAAATGCCTAAATCGTCTGACACTCAAAGTATTAATTACACTTAAATACACGGTGCAAATCTGTCTGAATTCATGAATATCGCGGGCGTGTTCATCTGTCGCAGGGGCCTAACGCTTACGGAAACTTAAACGACAAGTGGCTCGACTGGATGCAGTATCACAAGAATGAGTATCAGGATCAAGAGAGTCATAGGCACCATCATAACCACCATTAGGCCACTCAGCCAGCAGGACTATCCCTCTCTCCCTCTCTCTCTCTCTCTCTCTCTTTCTTTCACTCTCTCGTCGTTAATATATCCTCACATGATCTCGACGGGAAATATTCTTACAAAAATGCCAATTATTGTTCCATATGTGTAAAAGCAAAAGAGTGTGTGTACGAGGACGATCGTTATTACTAATAAAATATGCCTGGCAACAAAAAATGAAGGTAAAGAAAAAGCTGCGCAAGAATCATCCGCAAGTNATATATATATATATATATGTATGTGTGTGTGTGTGTGTGTATTTGTGTACGAAAAATCGATCTAAAATGCCGAAGATTTATTATACAGAGTTCGTTCCTCACCAGTCATGATACATGACGCGCTTCCCCTAAGAAACACGTACCGAAGGATATGAAAGATGGATACTAACGGTAACTAATAGCCTATTCTAATGCCGTCCTCTCTCTCTCTCTCTCTCTCTCTCTCTCTCTCTTTCTCTCTCTCTCTAAAAGTATCAGCCGAACACACCCGATGCGCCCATCAGTCTTGCAGACCCACACCGCGGCACACGGACGCAATCCTGCATCAAGTGCGTTGCTTCGTTCGTTCTACAATCAGCAATGCATTGCACGCAGGGTAGCGTTAGTGTGTTAGGAAGCATCACAGTCGGTTACGCGACGTTGTAGTATCCTTATTATTACAGAAGAGGTGAACTAGTTAATAATATCTCGAGCAAGAAGTGGAGAGACCGAAAGGTTCCTGTTCTTCGACACGAAAAACGTCGTTTTCTCTAATTCACACTAGCTATATACCTATATTTGACTTCGCCCGCCCTTCACCTATCTCGCTCGCTCTTTCTACCTTCAGCTCCNCCCCCCCCCCCGGCATACTTTCATACAAAATTGTGGAAATATTGGCAGTATCTTGGTAAGTATAGAGACTCGTGTGTGTTGCCCGCGCTCTTCCGTATTCTACATGTATACGTAATAGACCTCGGATCGCCGGAATCTCGCGTATAATTCGCTCGTAAGTAACGAGCCACTTTCGGATAGCCAGTAAAAGTGAGGTGTGTCGACTTACGACTTTGGTACTTTGCTATCTGATTGTACTATAACACCGTTAACGACGTGTCAGTCACTATCATCTGCCTTTCGTGATCCTCGTGATGACGTACTCCATCTGTTGCTCGATGCGAAAGACCAGGTAGAAGGACGCGAGCACGCTGCACAGCGTCACCAGGAACCCCAGCCCCTCGAATATCAACTTCGGCGCGAAGATCTTCCAGACCATCAGGTGTCGGCAGTGTATAGTCGCCGCTAACATACTGCCGAAAGTCTGGAAAGGAAGCGCGACTTGTGCAGTTTCTGCGGATACATACTTTCACGCTGTTTTTGCTCTTTTGTCTTTTTATTCCGAGGGAAATGAGACAGTCACTCGAGGCTCCCGTTCCTTCGCCGCGGGCATCTTGATTAATGACGTCAGAAGCGAGCAAACAGACGAGAATTTTGGGCGTGTATTTTCTCGCCTCCGACGTCATTAAACAAGACGACTGCAGGAGTCTTAATTGAATTTCGTTTTGCACGACATGTTACGTACCCGGATCCCGTGAAGCAACACGTATTTGCCGGCGACCGAGAAAACCGCGGCTTGAAAGGCGGAGTCTTGCTCGGACAAGAGGAAGAGTAGCTCGCCTCTTTTCATATCGTCCTCGAGGAACTTGGCCTTGAGGAACTTTGGAAATACCAGGTGCAGGGTGAATGGCACGATCACCAACAGCGGCAATGTCGCCCCCAGAATAATGTGGGAGCCGAACGTGTTGATACCTACGAATTATCTTCGTCGTGATTCCGGTCGGCAGGGATCCTCAAATAAAACTCGGTTACCGATAGCTCACCGATCAAAATCGCCGACATCAGGTGACCGTAGAAGTGGCCGCCGGTTCCCACGAAGGCGGCGTGCCAGTGGATGGTGGGAAACGTCGCCTGGTGGCCGGTCCCGTAGAAGAAATATTCCGCCGATAAAAACCAGCAGAGCAGCACGGGCATGGACACGTCCAGGAGTTCGGCTGTGCGCGAGGGAAGATTAGGAATCGAAGGAAATAGAAAGGAAATCGTTAGGAAAGTCGAGGGCAATTAGAATATCAATGAGAACAATTAGAGAACAATACTTGCGATGTGTGCACTGAGAAAAAATGGTGAGCTCATTTCGAGCGCGAGAAACGGAGGCTCGAACAAATATGAAAACTTCAAGTTCCGACAGACTAAACGTTGTATTTGACGGAATTTTATTTATTCAAGCAAACTCTCGCCGATTCTCGCCGACTTCTTTTTTCTTTTTCAACGTATAGTCAATCACAAAAAGGTTGCAACATTTTTCTATTAGTTTCGGGACGCATCCCGTGTCCGATAGGAGAAATTGTATCTTAGTAATCCTCAGGAGACGCATTTTCCTATTGGACAGGAGATTAGAAACAAGATGTTCCTGATAAATTGCACAAATACCGACCATTTCGAAAGCTCTCGATCGGTCGTGCACCATTTTCGAGCTTTCCGTAAGAAATATATGCGCGCTCTAGAAGGACGTGTTACAAACATACATCAGGCGTTGCGTACTTACAGATAGTGTTAGCGTTTTTGTATCTCTCGATCGTGGACAAGCCCAATACCGCGGCGCACGTTACGAAGATGAGGAATGTGCTGGGCGAGAGCGAGTCCCCCAGCAGCAACGAATACAGAAGCGTGAGGAACACGCTGAGGGAGATGAACGCGGCGCTGTAAGTGGTCCCGATACCGCAGATCACCGGAGTGTCGTCGGTGTCTATCCGCTTGCGGGAGATCGAGTCCTTGATCCTCTCGAACAAGCGCGGCACCAAGTTCTCCTCACGATACACCTCGATGGACTCCCGCTTCTTCGGCAGCATGTAGATGCTGAGCGGGCGATAGTAGAGTACGAGGATCGCGAGCACGCAGAGGAGGTAGACAACGTTCGGCAAGGTCTTCACCTGCCAGGACAGGACGAACTTCACCTTGTAGAACTTGGGCAGCTTCTGCAGCACCCAGTAGCAGCTGATGCAGACGCCGATCAGGACCGAGCAGTACTGGCCCACCATGACGCTGGGGGCGAAGCCGGTGAGGTTGCCGCGGTCTCGCAGCCAGAGCTTCACCACCGTCACGTACAGCGCCAGGATCACTACAGCGGGTAAGACGCGCTCCCAATTGTTCGACACCGTCGACCAGTCGACCTTGCCGGTCGCGGAGACGGAGCACGCCCGGTTCAGGTGCTCCTCCCGGCAACGCCAGAAGTAATGCGACAGCCTGATCGAGACGCACGCCACCAGGCCGACGATCAACACGATCGTCCGGAAATTCGGCCTGGACGGCCTCGAGCCGACGAACCTGGTGGTCTTCCTCTCGGCGCAGCCGTCGGAATCGCTCCTCCTCAGGTCGAACACCAGCAGGCAGAGAAGCGTGATGAAGAGGAAGGACAACACCTTGTCCTCCTCGACGATGTAGCTATTGGAGAAGAGTCCGCACACCGTCAGCAGCAGGATTATCCTGGAAACGTAGGTCAACAGCTTGATTCTACGGTGTTCGTACCAGCACATCGAGATCACGTCCCAGTTCTGCGCGATCACCAGCACGAGGAAGCCGATGGAGACCGCGCCGGTGGCGAAGAAGGTCATGTTCCGCAGTTCCTCCAGCACGTCCAGCAGGAAGAGGCACGTGGTGATCGCGACGGTGATCAAATTCGCGATCACCGCGCATTGCAGAAACGAGGACTTGAAGATGTCGCACATACGGCTCTCGGGGATGCCGGTGATGAAGAGGTAGAAGAAGAACAGGGAGCAGAACATCAGCAGCAGACCCTTGGAGATCAGACCGGAGTCGAATTGGACCCACACCTCGGAACACGTGTCCTTCAGCAGCTTGAAGTAGCCCCTGGTGTCGCGGACGAACGCCTCGAGCTTCTCCGGACTGTCCACCTGCCTCACGCGCTCCGACAGCAGACCGTAAACGTGATCCAAGTCCTGTAGCTGCTCCTTCGAGAACAGGTTCGCGTCCGCCGAATATATCTCTATGTACCTCTTCGTCTGGGCGATGTTTCGCCAGAGCGACTGTAAAGGATGTAGCAAACGACCGGCGGTCGTCTCCGCCGGCTGACTCGGCAGACAGTCGAGTACCACGGAGCCCAAGTTGGAGAAAGGGATCGGCGTGCCGAGGATGGACGACAAGGTGGGGACCAGGTCGACCTGGTTGACGCTGTTGCTGCCGTTGATCGCGAACCCCTTGAGCAACGGGGTGGTCGAGTAGACGAACATCGCCGCCTCGATCTCGCTGGGACTGTCACCGCCGTGATCCCCCGTCTCCGTCATACCGTGGTCTCCGACGACGAATAGCATCATGTCATTCTCGAGGGACTCCACGATCTCCGTGATGAGCTTGTTCGCGTCCTTCAGCTTCCTGGACATCTCCGGATGCTGCGTGCCGTGCTTGTGCCCGCAATGATCGACGCCCAGCGTGTGCGCTATCAGCAACGACCAGTCCTTCTTCTTCATCTCGAAAAAGATACGGTACTGCACGTTCTTGTCCACGCTGTCCAAGTCCCAGACGTTGAAGGACGGCGAGGGAAACTGCCTCATGAACTTGCCCGGGAACAGATTGGTCCACGTGTCGTCGCCCATGAAGACGATGCCGCCGGCGGCGTTCTGCTCGATCATATTGTCCTCGTTGATGTAGCCGGACGCGAAGTTCGAGCCCACCTCGATGAAGGTGGGCAACGAGCCCGTGGTCAGGCCCTTGAGGCGCTGCATGGTCGTGGTGGGAGGATCAGCTACGAACTTGTAGAGACGCGAGTGCGACGGCTGCTTCTGCAGCAGCTCGCGGATCACAGGCAGCTTGTTGCGGTGATAGCTGGACATGGAGGCGTCGTCGTCGTACCACTCGGCGAACTCGTACTTGAGCGCGTCGACAATCAGCAGCACGACCCGCGCCTTGCGCTCCAGACACACCCCGGCGGCGTAGCCGGTGTCTTGGAGAAGCCCGGCCGCGTCGCAACCGGCCTCCGGCGTGCAGCGCGCGCACTCGGCGCGCTCCGGCCTGGCGACGCGATTAAGGAGGAAGCCACTGGTGAAGACCAACAATCCGGCCGCCATCAGGTAGGACATCCATGCCTGAAATACCAAGTAATTCCATAGTCGACTCATCTTCGTCGCTCATTCAGTGTCGTGGAACGTGTCACGGCGGCGGTTGTTCACTGGCGGCACGACGGTCGTACGACCGAGGGAGATTCGGCGAGGTTTTAACCTATGACGGCACGCCGGTGGTCTGTTCATCACCATTGTCACATCCGCGGCTCGGTGTGTAAGAGAGAGAAAGAGAGAGAGAGAGTGCAGCTCGTAGACAGCGCGTTGTTTTGACCGGTCAAACACCGCGGACACTTAATCGATAATTCATGTGTATCGCGGCGAGCAGCAGGATTTAACCTCAAAACCGCGTCGTACTGCGTGGATCGTCGCACGCATCGGTTCCCCGGTGCGGGGAACTTTTGTGCACGACTGTGGCGACCCTCGGAGAGTTCAGAAAGTGCAGCTTTAAGAGAAGAGAGAGGGAGGTCGATCGCGAGTGTCTTCCTCTAGTGTGAGATCGTGGAAAGTGGAAACGCTCCTTCAGGTCGGAAAATTTCCACTTTCCACTTTTCATGTATTATGCGATAATATCTTTCTTTCTTTTTAATTTTTTATCTCACGTCGAGTGAGATAAAAATGAGATAAAAAGCGAGATGGTATCTACTGTGGCGTTAGTGATAACGTTCATTCTTTGTCAACAGATGGCAGCCCGCACGCTGTTTAAGAGCTGCAGTTTCGGCCAACTCGTCGCCAGCAGATGGCGGCTGCATACAGCTCGAGAAGCACGCGAAGTCGGTTGGAGATATTTCAAATTGTGCGCATTTAGTTTTTGCATCGCGATCGCAAGTCCCAGATCGAATGTCCAGACCAACGTGCAACGACGTCAAATCATGATACGATCTCGGCAGTAAAATTGCGTAGTCATGCGTTACGCGAGATATCTCGGCTCTTGGAAATTCCGCGCTCTGGCTTGTTACATGTTCGGAAACGCGATGGCGATCAACGACGATCTGAGCTTCGGATATATATTCAAATGGAAGAACTTGGCAGAGGGCTTCGACGAGGCTAAGGTCATCCGGAAGCCGATATTCCTTCTGATCTACAAGACAGGCTGCCCCACTTGCGAGAAGCTGAAGCCCAAATTCAGAAAGTCCATCAGAATCCTCGATCTTAGCCAGTAGTGAGTAACCTCTCTCGATGTATTAAACGCTCTAATCCGATTTCGAAATTGTTCAATCGGAAATTTAACACGCGCCATTTTCACCAACAAAACGCGACTCGAACGCGAATTTTATCTAATTCGCGAAAATACGACATTTTACATATTTAACGTTAATAGGACACAATTATAGCGCAAATTCGGCATTTAATCGTATTTGTCTATCGAGAAAGAATCGTCACGACATTTATCGCAGAGTTAATGCCGAATTCGTTACATGTTTGACGCGACAACATAGCTTCGTTATGGTGAGCGCCAGGAAGGGTGAGATGTCCGCGAAAGATGAGACGAGATTTCAGCCGGACGGGACCTACGTCCCTAGAATCCTGTTCTTCACCCCGGACGGCGAGTTTATGGAAGACATTTATAATCGTCATTCGCAGGCCGACAATAAGTGTAAATACTTTTATAGTAGCACGGGTCAGATAATAGACAGCATGATTTTGGCATTGGAACGCTGTCCCAAATAGTCGTTATAGTCTGTTTAACAATGTTAGCTTTTTTGTGAAATAATACTTTGAAATTGAAACGATACATATCGATGCGCATGAACGACACGCACAGTATTGTTTTAGTGAATCAACACGCATTGCAAATTAAAATTTGTTTTACGCCAATAACTCGAATCCGATTCAGTTGAATGCATTTTCTTAAGACGAAACCAAAAATGAAAAAAAAAAAAACAGAGAAATATCCAGGCTGAAAAATATCCTCAAGCTCGCATGAGACCAGACATGGAGATTGCGGATTGGAGATCGAATTAGGCGGATCTAATTTCGATCGTGATTCGCTTTATTCCGATTGGTCAAGTTGCAAATCCAATCCGCAATTCTCAGTTGCCCATATGAGTTTTGAACACCGAGAAAAACCCCATGAAAATTCCTTCATTTATGCGATTAACAGTTACAAATACCGAAACTCTTTTTTCCCCGCGAAGCCACGCATGCCCAGCACGTAGGCGATCGACCGCCGAAGTGTACATCGGAAAGTCGATTTGCGGCTTGCGCAAGCCGCGTTATCCGCCCACTATCGACAGGTTGCAAAAGGAACAGAATAGCGGGTGTACGGAACGAAGAAACTAATTTAAGTTGGACCGCGGCGGAGTCCCTCCCTCACTCCCGGGGACTCTTCTTTCCCAGCATTCGAGTCTGCGCCTGCACGCCGGATTCGGTGCGCGCTTCCGATACTGCGGGTGACCTATAGTGAGCCCGCAAAGGTAGGCTTGACGGCGCTTGCGTTTGCAACAGTTGCCAGATGAAGCTGCCAGGCATTGGCCGACGAGATCGCAACCAAGAAGTCGCAACCCCTCGTAACCACGCCCATTTCATCCCTTCCGTGCACACGCGCCTGTCGCGCATTTATGTGTATATGTGTGTATGTGTATGCATGCAAAACGCATGATAAAATCAGCGTTGTTCTCTTTTTCAAAAGGCTGGTTGAAAAATGGGACTCGCTATTGTTGATAAAATCGAGAACCCGGAGTTGTCGAAAGCGACAATATTTTGCTGTATCGCAGTTGCACACTTTAAATTTCTCGGAGTGGAATCTCCCTAAAAACAAAGTGCTGCAAACTTTTTCTGACTGAGAACACATCAAATTCACTCTTCGAGTTGAGTGTCGAGTGAAAATATTTACGTTTTAGAGTGAAAAATTCACTCTGTACACGGAGAAAAAAAATTTGCTGGAACAACGAATCGTTAGTTACTACAGTGACAGCAAAACAATTTGTTGCACAGAAGAAAATAATCATGCTGTTGCAGCAAAACATTGTTGCGATAGCGATAAAATTGTTTTCCCCGCGTATAAATAAAATATCATCCGAATCCGAACTCAGCTATCATTCTACTTTTCGAGAGAAGTTTCACATCAAATAGCATAGAGAGTAATTCATATCCCGGAATTGCAAATTTTCCTCGGAAGTGATCTCGCGTCTCCGGGTCGGGACGACGCGTTAGTCGCACTTGGAGCGCGCAAGATCGAAGCGACCGAGTGTTGAAGGCGCGACCGCGATCGAACGCCCTCGCTCCTTTTCTTTTTCTTTCCGACAAATTGAAAGCTAACTCTTTCACCCTTTCTCACGGACAAAGGAAGAAAAGAGGAAAGAGGGGAAAGATCGCCTGTGTCAAATTGACCCGACGCGAGTACTCGAGAGGAATAAAACGCGTTTACGGCGGCGGTATCGTGCGCGCGGGCATCCGGATTTTCCGCGGGGAGCGCGGGAGGCGCAGGAGGAACAGGAGGAGGAGGAAGAGGAGGAGGAGAGGAGAGAGCTTACGCACATCCGTACGTTATGTATGGATCTCTCCGCGGACGGTTCTGTGTTTGAAGGGTTGCAGATAATATATAGCCCGTTTCGGCGGAGAGTGCTTTTTAGCTTTGACCGTTTCATCCGGACCGGCCAGCCAACCAACCGACCGACCGACCGACGACCAGCCGCCGACCGGTCGGTCGGTTGGGGCTATTGCGCCCCGTAATATCGCGCCCCCGCGCACCTATATCTCCACGTCCGTCACTTTTTTTTTCCGCCTCGCCCGCAGAGTCCTGACCAGTCCGCGCCTCCTCCTCTCTCCCCCTTCTCGTTCTCTCTCTCTCTCTCTTTCTCGATAGCCGGGGCCGGCTTTAAAAAATGAGCCGGGACATTATTTCTGCGCACCCCCTCCGTGGCTCCTGCACGACTGACCGATCCAGTCCCTCTCTCTCTCTTATTCTCTCTCCCCCTCCCCCGACGTCGTTTCCGCCGGCGCAGCTTGCAATGTGCCGCATCAGCGAATGTGCAAAAATGAAGAGAGAGAAAGAGAGAAGAGGAGTAGCGGTGGGTGGCGGATGGTGGACGAGGCTTCGGGGTGGACGAGAGATCGGGAGATCGAGAGATGGGTGAGGGAGGAGAAGAAGAATTATATATCTCTCGTGCGAGTGTATGTGTGCATGTGTCTCTCGTTCGTCCGTTCGTTCGTTCGTTCGCTCGCTCGTTCGCTCGCTCGCTCGTTCGCACGGTCGTTTCGGTTCGGATATGGATATGCCCGTGTGGATATATCGGGAGAGCCAGGGAGCCATTTTCAATTCAATCTGTTAAAAGCACGTCAAAAAGTCATACGGTATTTCACCGGCGCGGTAGATCGCGACGAGATCGCGGCAGCTTCATCGCGACCCGACAGCGGCGTGAATAGCGTATACACCACGGGTCGTCCACGTGCTTGTGTGGCGCCGACGTGTGGCGGTGTCATCCACGATGCCGGGTTAACGGACATCAATCCTCATCGTCTTGGCAACTGTCGTAGGAAGCGATGAGATGCCGTCTCGGTTAGTGGCGACAATTGTTCTCGCTACAATAGATAAATTAATCATAAGAGATCTTAATGATAAATATTCATCGTACAGATGAAATTTCTAGTAACACGAGCGCGAAAGGTGAAGGATTGATATAGATTATTTTTTGGAAAATATGGATCTATGTCTTCGTCTTGTCACTTTTTTTCACAATTTTGCTGCTTTCAGTAGAAATCCTGCCAAGTAGGACCGGAGGATTTGCAGAATTGAAGGTAAAATGTGAGGGAGAAGAGAGAGGGAGAAAGATATATCGCAGATATTAAAAAAATTTTTCACGTTCGTGGCGTTATTCACCTTGAAATTTGCAGTAAAACACAAGAAAACGGTCGCAAAATTATTTTTCGTAATCAAAAAATTGCAATTCTTTATTGTCATCTAAGTTCCACTTAAATATTGCATGTTTCGAATTATTTAATAAACCAAGTGAAACTATTAAAGTGCTCCATTTTACGCATAATTTCTATGATTATTTTTGCATAAAATATTGAAACTTGCGTGAAATTGCATATAATCTTCCCGACGAAATGTCGATTGTTGCACTCACCGTGTCAAACAGGTTACATCGAAGCGACATGCAAGCACCTCTTACCTGCGATTTCTTTGTGTGGCTTTGACATGGCGACTATAATCTAATCTCGCTTATCCGATCGCGCGCCGCCGATTCTCTCGAGCTCGGCCGCGCGTCTAGTGTCGCGGGGTCAACTCGACGTTTGCAAACATCGTAATTCGATATTGCCGCGATCTTGATCTTGATCACCCTGTTTACCTAAGGGGTGTATAGCCTGAGGGAAATCTCGAGTGCGTGGGCGAACAATGCTCTGCTTTTGAGCCACTCGACATCGCAGATAAACCGGATACTTTTCGGAAACATTTCGAGTACGGGAATTAAAGACCGTGGGAGAATTCTCGACCGATTTTTCTGTAAAGAGAGAGAAAGAGCGAGAGAGAGAGAGAGAGAGTGTGTGTGTGTGTGTGTGTGTGTATGTGTGTGTGAGAGAAATAGGCAAAATATGACAATGGCTAAGTTTGTGAAAGAATTCAAAAGTTTATTAAAGAATTCAATTGCTTATAATACATTTGCAAATACGTAACCGTTTTACGGTAAACTGTACATATCGGGAACACGTTCCATTTCATGCGGATGATAAATATTAGAAGATAAATTGAAAATAACGGTGGGTGTTTCAGTGACAGAATGTCGATAGTTTGAAAATTCTCAGTAATCAGAAACTAGAGAGAGTCGTCGGCCAATTATAAATTTCGGACGGCTGCGTGTAAAAAATATGAAGTAGTAGGTAACGAACATAAAAGTCGTCTTCGGTAAATTTTAAGTGAGTCGATATATGAAGAATTCGTTGCTCGACAGTGTTATATCGAAAATTGCGGAATTATGTGAGAAAAAGTGGCGAAACGAAGACCCAAGACCCATATTTTCTACAAATAATTCACATCGATCTTTCGTCTCTCGGAAAAGTTCGGGGGACACGATTCTTTTATCACTTCCGTGATTTTCCGCAATCGCATTTAATTGCGCGCAATTTAAATGGCACCCCGACGGGAAAGCACGTGATCGCTGGTATTTATGCTCGCTTCATGACTCCTCGAATTTTGCGTTTCGGCTTGTACGAAAAGTGCGTGATACTTTATAAAGCGGGCATATATTGGCGTACCTATTGGTTTATTGATTTCTCCATCGGCGCGTATATTCGCTTTGAGTGGCCGATATGCGAAAGTAAAAAAAGCTCCATGCTCGTGCGATATATATATATATATATATATATTCTGGCGTGAACGTACACTCGCGTACGGAATACTTTTAATATTGCTCAAATTCGCTCGCCGTCAAATTGAAAAATCCCTTCTGGAACGTCATTGAAAAAAAAAAGCGACGCCCCGTCGCGATTATATTTATTGCGCGTCCTCCCTGTGACGCCCTCGATGACGCTCGGCGTACGTTCGATTCTATCGATCGCCGAATTACAATGTGGATAATTTTGACCGAGTGGAAATTGCGCGTGACGCGCGACACGACTCGCGACAAATGCGAAAACTGTTCCCCCCTCCCCACCTCACGCCTCCTCCCCCCGCTACGATTCATCGAATCGCCCGAAAAAGGACGTATATGGGGAACGCGAGATATATCAATCGGACAATGGCGCTCTTTCACCTTTCCACCTTTCAGCCCTTGCCCACGAGGAGAAACCAGTTTCAGTCTCGCGGATTACGTTTATGTCGTGTAAACCTGTTCTCTCTCTCATTCTCTGCCTCTCCGATTGGCCACTATTACACCGCACACCCCTCACGAGACGATCCCCCTCGTCTCGCGCGATTTATACATTCATAAAGAAATATGTCTCGAGTATATGATGAGATAACCGACACCGCGATTGTTACTTTCCGGGTTTAGAAGCGCGCAGGGCGAACGGCTTCCTCCGCGCGCGTCTACATTACGTACATCACGTGCTCGTGGTGGTAACTTAGGTTGGATGGAGGGTAGGTAGGTAGTTAGGTTGGTTGGCTGTTCGGTGGGTAGGTAGAAACGTAGAGAGATACGGGATCCAAATCATAATGCTCACAATGCTTTTATTCTATTCTCATTGCGGGGTAAATAACATCTGTACATTAGATCACTATAAAATCGGCCGCCATTGGCGAAACGACAATAGGGCTGCGCGCTCCCTCCCTCTCCCCTCCCGCTCACCATTCAAATCTCATTGTACAATATGATTCAAAGAAGGCTCGTCGCGATGACGGTGTTGGTTGTGGTTTATAGACCGTATCCAGCGAAAGAGAGCGAAGCGGCAAGAGAGGGAGGGGAGGGGGGGGGGATGAAATGGGGGTAGA